AACAAGAAAAAGAAATAGCATATATGGTCAGTTAGACTACGGGAGCTCTGCAGAGCTCCAAGGGGCGGGGACGTGAAGTGTCAGCACGTTGCAATATTCTGTAAGGTATGTCTGGGGAAGTGTCCCGGCAGAAGGCACAGCTGAGGCAAAGGCCCTGAGGTGGGAACAGGCCTGGGGGCTTTGAGGAAGCTTCTTTGCCTCTCCCTGCCCTGCCACGCTGTAAAGACTACATTTCCCAGCTTCCCCTGCTACTGATTTTGGCCACGTGGCTAAGTTCCATCCAGTGGAATGAAGCAAAGGTGTCACCGTGAATCTTCCAGGAAGAGGCTTTATGTATTTATTTTTTTTAATTTTTATGTTTTAAAGATTTTCATGAGAGACACACACAGAGAGAGGCAGAGACACAGGCAGAGGGAGAAGCGGGAACCGGATGCGGGACTCGATCCCAGGATGCCGCGATCACAACCTGAGCCAAAGGCAGATGCTCAACCACTGACACACATACACACACCCCGCCCCAGGCATCCCCAGGAAGAGGCCTTAAGGAGAAGAGGTGAAACTTTTCCCCCCAGTTTCCTGCTTCCTCTTGGCTGGAATGCACATGGGAGGGCTGGAGCTTGAGCAGCTCTCTTAGCACAAGAGATGGAAGTTCGCGTGCTATGAAAAGCAGAGCAGCAAGACGGTGGGAGCCCCGGTTCCTGACATTGCCCAGGAGCACACCCCTGAGAGATTTACTTTCTGTCTAGTTCAAGCCTCTCGCACTTGGGGGTCCTCCGTCCGTAACTGACCGATGCACTTTGTGAAGGGCAGGTCACATGACCCCCCCTGTTCATTGCCTACGTTGACCTTCATCCGTATTAGTAAAGAAGAAGAAACGAGCTCTGCCTTTGAGAAGCTTACAGCCCCCCTGAGTGGAGTCCGCAGGCCTGATGTGTAGCCCCAGCCAGCTGCGTGAGCAGGGACTAGTCGCTTTGCCTCTCTGGAACTCAGCTGCTCCAATTCTAGAAGGAGGGGATCGGCCCCCCAACTCCCCACCCAAATCGCCAGGAGTTTGGACAACAGGGGGTTATACAGATGGCAACAGCCCAAACAGGAGAAAGGTAGGACGGAAGCAGAGCGAGATTTGGATAAAGAAATAAAGAAGGAAAGGCGTTCGGGAGGGATTGAAGGGGTCCCTCGGGGTCCTTCTGCCGCAGGTGAGGGATGGGTGGCGGGCAGATTTATGGAATCTTGGGAGGGCGCGCCCAAGAGATCCCGCTTCCTGACTGGGTGGAGGGAAATCTAATCAGCTTCTCCAATTCCTCACCCTGGAGTCTGCCCCTTTCCACCGTCCTACTTCCGGCCCCATTTTTGGTATTAGGATTCTTTCTGCTTGCAGGTAGCGGAAACCGGCCTCAGAAGCAACCCAAAAAGCAACCAGTGGCTTCAAGCACTAGTCGTAGCGTGACCTCTGGCAGGATCCAAGGATTTGCATTCTTTCTTCCTGCAGGATTCAGCCCCTGCCGTCTTGCTGATGTAGGGGAGACGTGAGGGTCCGAAGCCGACGGCCCACAAAGAATCCTTGGGACGTCTTTGATGCAAGAAGGTGGATTTATTAAAGTTCGAGGCCCGGGGCCCGTGGGCAGAAAGAGCTGCCCATTGTGGGGTCAGGAGTATGGCCCATGATACAGTCTCAAGCTAAGAGCGGGTTAGGGAGAGTGTAAACCTCCCAGGTATTTTGGGAACAAGGTTTCCCGGATCCCGAGGGGGCTAGCTATTGTTGGGAAAGATCATTTATTATTATTTAGTAAAAACTCAGTCATGAGGCCCTTCCGATAGACGTCGGGGCGGTCATATGCTTGGCGGATGATCGCTCGGAGGGTGATATCTTGGGGGGCAGAGATAAAGGAAGTTTCCAAAGGGATTTTTGTATGTCAGAGTAGACGCACAGGGTCCTGGGGTTGGGCTAGGGCTGCCTGTTGCCCTTGGCAGAGCGTCACATCGAGGCAGCTGAGTCCCTGGAGGAAGGTCGCTCTGCCTGTTGCAAGGACTTGTCAGCGGGCTGTAGAGAGTTAGGAAATGGAATAATTTCCTTCTTTTTTTTAAAAAAAATATTTATTTATTTATTTATTTATTCATTCAGAGAGAGCGAAGAGAGAGGCAGAGACCCAGGCAGAGGGAGAAGCAGGCTCCATGCAGGGAGCCCAATGCCGGACTTGATCCTGGATCTCCAGGATCACACCCCCGGCTGCAGGCGGCGCTACACCGCTGCGCCACCAGGGCTGCCCGAATAATTTCCTTCTCCCTTTGTTTCCCACATCACTGGGACTGGGCTCCTTCCCCTGCGGGCCGAGGGCTCGGTCACCAAGGCCAGGTCCACGGCCAGCGCGACACAGCGAGACCAGAGGGCCAGGGCCTCCTGCGGGGGGTCTTCCCGGGGCCAGGTCTTGCTGTGAGCAGGGAGCGGGCATCCAAGAAGGCTTCACCGACATGCTGCCAGTTGAGGGGGGCATGAGCGGGGGATGCCGGACGGGCGAGGTGGCAGGGCACTGCAGGCAGAAGGGACAGGTGGCACAAGGGGATGCAAACTCCTGCATGGGAAGAGCTCTGAGTGCCAGCCCAGCACCGCGGTGGTGGGGAGCTCTGGGAGGACTCACGGCGGGGCCCGGGTGCGCGCGGTCACATCTTCATCCTTGGGCATGCAGCGGAAGGTGAGTGATGGCAAGGAGAAACACTGGAGACAACTGGGGAGCCCGGGGGGGGGGGGCTTCTGTGTCACCAGCCTGCACCAGCGGGTGGCCTGGGGCGTCAGGGATTTTCCACAATCACGTCGACAGGACAGAAATATGGGGGTTGAGCAGCGCGGGGCTGGGTAGCTCTGGAGTCCAGCCTGCTGGTGTGGCTGCTGGCTGGCTTCAGGCTGGTAGAGGAAGGGGCAAGTCCCCCAAGTCCCCCCACACCCCGCTCTTGGCAGGAGGAGGAGAAACTAGGGGTTCCCACCTCTGAGGCCTGGAATTCCCATCTTTGTCTTTGAGATTCAAAGTGGCCAATGCTTGAATGCCTTCGGGGATGGGGAGTTCACCCCAAATAAGCCATGGACTCAAACCTAGCTCCCTGGAGTCAGGTGTCCGTATGCTGGGGGGCCCCCTGCACCCCAGGTCAGCCCTCCTTGGAGATTGGGGAACCTGGTGCTGCCCACTGAAGTCTGTCTTTCTCCAGTCCAGCCCCTGTGGGCCCTCTGATCCCTCCTTCTGGGGTAGGGCCTTCCAGAGTGTGGGACAAGGGTCCCTGGGGTGCGGGGAAGACACGGGTACCACTCAGACACCAAGTATTGATTCACTGAGGGAGCAAGCCAGCCCCCCTCAACCGCTCCCCATCTCCCTGACAGCGTCAAGGAGAGAGCCTCCCTGGGGTGCCAGGGCCTCCTCCGGCTTTACACACGGGCTCCGTCCCCGCTGAGGCGACAGCAGGCGAACCCCATCGTGGGACCTCTGACTCTGGTCTGAATCTACTGGTGTTGCTGGGCTTCCTGTGGCTATTTCGATGTTTCTATTTCAGGCAAGTGATGATGCTTTGCCATATATGGTGGCCCCGTGACCCAGCAGAATGCTGGTGGCAGGGTCCCCAGCCCTGGGTCCGCAGCAGTGCCTGTGGTTGGGAGGTGGGGCGAGACCCCAGGACTCCCAGCAGCCGGCTCAGGGAGCCCGGGGAGCCTGGGGAGCCCTGCTTATTAGCAGGAAGATGCTAGGGCACCCTCCCTGCCAACACTACCACTCCTGGGAGCTCCACCACCTGGAAGGAAAGGAAGGACAGCCGTCTTCTCCCTCCCGGGGCTCCCCTCCCCCACCCCCTGCCCTCGCTGGGATAACCCTGGTGCCATCTGGAGGGTCTCCTTCTAGAACTTTCCCCATGGACTTATGCTCTCCTGTATAACACGACAGGGTGGTGCTGTCTGGGTTGTGTCACGGCGTGGGGGTGGTGGGGGTGGTTTTCGACAACTGTTGATTCTAGAACCTTGATACACATGATTTCCTAGTTTTTGTTCTATAATATTCCATAATAGGGATGTTTTGTAATTCTGCAACTGGGCCTGTATTCTGAGAAACCACATGACGCCTTAGAGCACAGACATTTACTTAGCCTTTTGGGCAAGTGGGCATCTTGGGGCCACAGGACTCAGGCTCCCCGGGCGTCCTGGTCATCCCCGCCTCCCACCAGCCCCATGCTGGTCCAAGCGGACTCCCCGAGGAGAAGCAGAGCTCGCTGGGCGCCCAGGCCAGGCCCAGTGCGCCGGCCCCAGATGTGCAGCGAGTGAACCGCTGCGCGAGGTCGCGAGGTCGCGAGGTCGAAGCCTCGGTGCGGTGAGGGGGGGGGGGGGGCCCGCGGAGGAAGGTCGAGCCCCGCGCAGCGGGTTGACCCGGGCGGGCTCCACGGCGCCCTCCGCCCTCCGAGGCGGCCGCTCCATCCCGAGGCCTCGGGTTCCCCGGTTCCCCGTGACCTTTCTTCTGGGGCCCCCACACCCCCTTACTGTTGCTGGCGACCCTACAGCACTGGTGACCAGCGGCATTTCTGAGCACTTCTTTGCACCAGACGCCGACGACCCTCCTGGCAGGGAGGTGAGCGATCGCGTTGGAATCCCTGCGGCGTCCGGGCTCTGCGGCTTGCTTCTCTCCCCGGACGGGCAGCTCACTCTCGCGTTCCCGCCTCGCCCCCCGCCCCGTGCGCGGCACCCGCCCCGCGCCCCGCGGCCTGGGCTTCCAGGGTGGGCGGGGTGCGCGCCCCGCGGCACCGGGCCGGGGGGGGGGGGCAGCTGGCGAGCGCCCCGGCCCCCCCTCGGGCGGGGCGGGCGGCGCGGGGGCCTCGGGCGGGGCGGGGCGGGGAGGGGCCGCGGCGGCGGCGGCGGCGGCGCGCGGAGCAGACCGCAGTGCGGCCGGCGCTAGGACCTGCGGGGGCTCCCGGCCGCGGCGCCTCCCGCTCCCCCGCTCCCCCGGCCCTGCCCCCCCACCCCAAAATGAGGAAACGGAGCAACTTGTTCCAAGTTGTGCAGCCGGGGCTGCCTGGGGGTGCGCAGCCGGCGCGCGGGGGCCCTCCTGGGTGTGGGCGCGGGGCGCGGCCCGGGGGCGCCCCCTGAGCAGGTGAGCGCGGCGGCGGGGGAGGGGACAGGCCGCGCGGGAGGGGGCCGCGGGGGAGGGGCGCCCCGGCGTGCGGCGGGGGGCCCGGGGCGCGCGCGAGTGTGCGCGGCGGGCACGCGGCTGGGGCGGCGGGTGCTTCGCGGCCCTCGGGCGCCGGGTGGGGGGACTTTTCTGGGCGCGAGTGTGCGCGTCTGCGAGCTCCCGGTGCGTGTATCCGCGCGTCCACGTGGAGGGGCGCTCGCGTGTGCGCGGCCCTGCGTGCAGCCCCGCGTGCCCCGGTGGCCCAGTGGCCCAGTGTCTGGCGCCCAGGTGTCCAAGTGTGGGGCTGCGTGTGTGCTGGGGGGACAGGTACCCGCGTTGCTGGCTGTCTCAGAGTCTGTCCGGTGTACACGTGTGTAGAAGTGTACACACCTGTCTCTAGGTGAACGTGCTTTTGCTTGCATCCCCGCGCCTGTGGGCACCTGTGTCCACCTGTGTCCAAGCCCCGTGTGTTTCTGTGTGTGCTCGTGTGTACATGGATCAGTATGCGTGTGAGTACACGGGGCGGGGGGCTGGGGACTTACGGGGGGGCAATCCTGGAGGGGCAGAGGCTCGTGCCCCCCACCCTCGCCGCAGCCCAGCCACCTGCTGTGGGGTCCGTGCAGGAGGAAAGGCCTGGAAAAGCCCCCACCCAGCAGTGGTGAGACACCGCGTGTCTGTCCCAGGTTGGCATCGGGACAGGGGGGCATGGGAGAGGTTCAGCCGAGGGCCAGAGGAGCCCGGCAGGGCTGCATGCCCCCTCCCCCCCCCCCCGGGCCCCACCCTAGGTTCAGAGATACTTGGGAATGACCTTGAATCATCCTGTTTCCTTGCCCTGCTCCTGCCCACTTAGCAGAAAAGAGGAAGAACCAACTCAATTAGGTGGCACCGTGTCCGCCACCCACCATGTGCCTGCTGGGGCCTGAACGTGGCACTTCACCCCTGCCCTCCCGGTGGCCGCTTGCTCCGTGCCCACCTCAGGCCTCCATTTCCCTCTCGGGACCGTGGCGGGGCTAGACTCTGCGGTTCCCTTGCAGAGGTTCCATGGCTGCGACGGTGATAAGGAACCCCTGTGGGTAGAGACCACCTCCCCCAGGGGGCTTGGGGAGCCACCCCCCGGAGGCCCCCATGGGGATGCCCTCCTGCGCTTGCCTCCGCCAGGCCTGGGCGGGAAGTGGTTAGTCAGGAATGGCCCCGGGCCCCAGCCGGCCCCCAGTCTGGGCTCCGCAGCTGGTCTCTGCAGCTGGTCTCTGCCCGCCCCCAGGTGAGCCCTCACTTCCTCCGTGCCTGGCACCCCACGCGCATCTCAGCCAGGATGCCAACGGTGAGTACCCCCAACCGGGGCCTGTGTCCCGGCTGGTCCTCTGCTCAGTCCCCCCCCCCCCAGGGACCTTAGCCCCCTGTCCCCGGGCTGCACTTGGTGACGCCTGCCCCCTTCGGGAAGACGCTGCCTGCTGTAACATTGTCGGTTGGTGTGACACTTGTGTCACCTTTCCTTCCTGACTTTCTGCGCTGGGCACCTGGGTTTGTGACTGATGTTTCTGCCTTGGCTGCTCCCTCTTGATTTCTGCTCCTTCTGTCTCTGCCTTGCCGTCTTTCGCCCAAATCCCCTGTCCTCCTCTCCCTGGGCCTCCCCCTCATGCCCCTTTGCCCCCCACCCCCTCTCAGAGGCGCTGGGCCCCAGGCACCCAATGCATCACCAAGTGTGAGCACACACGCCCCAAGCCGGGAGAGCTGGCCTTCCGCAAGGGCGACGTGGTCACCATCCTGGAGGCCTGTGAGGTGAGCGGTGGCCAGAGGGCCTGGGCGCGCTTGGGGACACGTGTCTCTGCCAGGACACCCCTGCCCTGACACACACACACACACACACACACACACACACACACACACACACACACGACTCCTGGCTCCCTCCCTTGCAGAGCAAGAGCTGGTACCGCGCGAAGCACCACGCCAGCGGCCAGGAGGGTCTGCTGGCGGCGGGGGCCCTGCGGGAGCGAGAGGCCTTGTCGGCCGACCCCAAGCTCAGCCTCATGCCGTGAGTCGCGGGGTGCCCCGGGGCGGGCGGCGGGGGCCTGGCCGACCTGCCCATGTGCCCTTCCCGCCTCCGGCCGCAGGTGGTTCCACGGCAAGATCTCCGGGCAGGAGGCTGTGCAGCAGCTGCAGCCGCCTGAGGACGGGCTGTTCCTGGTGCGCGAGTCAGCGCGGCACCCTGGCGACTACGTGCTGTGCGTGAGCTTCGGCCGTGATGTCATCCACTACCGCGTGCTGCACCGCGACGGCCACCTGACCATCGACGAGGCCGTCTGCTTCTGCAACCTCATGGACATGGTGGAGGTGCAGCCCCCCGGGGCCCGGGCCCCCCAGAGCCGTGTGGTCTGAGCTGTGGAGATGGAGGGACCCCAGGGCCCCCCTGTCCTGTTGTGGCAACCGGGTGGGCCCCAGGTACCCGAAGCCACATGTGTCGCAGGGCGGGAAGGAGGGGCTGTCTCCACAGCCCAGCAACCCCACAGGTGGTCTGAGTCCTCTGCGTCCACCTCTAGGGACGGGCTGGGCTGGCTCCTCTGGGGACCCCTAGGAACCTCCAAGTTGACACTAAGCCAGAGACCACCGCCCCACCTTCCCCAGGATCCTCCTGTTTCCTAGCATCCTCTCCGTTCCCATGGAAACCAGCCCAACTCCCCCAGTGGGAAGCAAACTCCTCTCCTCCCCAGCTCCTGCCCACCCCATTCAGAGAGCACCCCCCGGGGAGGGGCGCAGAAGCAGGGTCCCCCGCACCCGGGGCCACCTCACGGCTCCCCCGTGCTGCCCCTCCCTGCAGCACTACAGCAAGGACAAGGGAGCCATCTGCACGAAGCTGGTGAAGCCCAAGAGGAAGCAGGGCACCAGGTCCGCAGAGGAGGAGCTGGCCAAAGGTGCGGGTCCGCCCCCCACTGGGCCCCGGTGCCTGGCACTGTGAGCGGAAGGCGGGGGGCAGCCCCCGGGCCGGGCAGGGGCGCCCACAGATACCCATCAGCCCGAGGGAACGCATTCCCACGCCTACGGCTGCTTGCACATGCCCATCATCTGCCCGTCGCCTGGGCCATGGGCCGCCTCAGCCCCGGCCATCAGACCACCTCTTCCCTGGGGGGCACTCCCCTTCCACCAGACCCCTGCTTCGGTGCCCCCCGAGGGGACGTTCTACGGTGAAAATCCACCCTGCCTTCTGGAACCTTCCCTCGTGGCCCAGCCATCTTTCTTGGTTCATGTGCAAGGCCCGTCCACGGCCACTGCCCTTGACCCTTGAACCCGGTGGTCCTGGCTGCCTCCTTGGAAGCACATCTCTCCCGTGTCGGGGTCGGGCCCGAGGGGAGGCTGGTGTCCCCGTGCCTGATTGCAACTAAGGCTCAAGATTTGGAGGGGGCGCTTTGGGGAGAAAGGGGAAGCGGCCCGTGGAACCTACTAGAGGAGAGAGGCTGGGAGAACACGGGCATGTCTGAGGCATGGGTCAGGGAGGCTGGACCACAGATGACCACGTAGAGCATGGGAAGATTCTGGAACCTTTGTCGGAAGACTCCAGAAGCGTTAGTCTCCCTGTTTGCTGTTTTGCTGTGTCGGGGTGGCCAGAGTAAAGGACTGTAAAGGGAGGAGCCCCTGGGGTACATGGAGGGCCGTGGTCTCCAGGTAGAGAGGGGCGGCCCTAACGGGGCTGCCAGCACGCCCCCGGGCCCGGTGGGCGCTCCTGGGGAGCAGGGCTGGGGCCTTTCCCTCCCCAAGCCCCTTTCCTCGGGCCCTGGAGGCCCACGGGCTCTGCTGCTCTCCAGCTCTGGACGGGGTGTCCTGGACTAGCCCTTGGGCCACCGCCAGGAGCAGCAGCCACCCGAACGGGGGGGGGGACACCACCCGGCCCCTCGCCGTGGGGGGACCGTTCCCCTCTGAGCCTGTCCCCACCCCACAGCCGGCTGGTTACTGAACCTGCAGCATCTGACGCTGGGCGCGCGGATAGGAGAGGGTGAGTTTGGAGGTGAGTGGAGGCCCGGGTTGGGGGCTGCGGGGGGTGCGCTCAGGTTTAGGGGTGGATTAATCCACACCCGTGTCACCACCTGCTCCGGGAGGGGCGCTGGCGTCTGCTCGGGGGCCGTGGGGTGCCTGCATGCCTTCGGGCCCCGCGCCTGGAACGCCACTCCCGGAGACTGTTCTGGAAGGCTCTGGGGCTTGGAGCGGGGCCTGAGCGCCACGGCCTGTGTCACGTGTGTCCAGCTCTGCCTCTGCGGCGGGAAAAGAACGGGCGCGGCCACGTGCCGATAAAACTTTATTTCTGGACACTGAAATGTGAACTTCGTGTAAATTTTCATTTGTTGCAAAGTATTATTCCTCTTTTGATTTTTTTTCTCAAACATTTAAAAATGTGAAACCTGCTCAGAACTTAGGGGCCTCGCAAAATGCCGGGGTCCGCTGTCCGGGGCGGCTCTGCCCACGGCTGCAGTTTGCAGACCTCGCCCCGGTGATTCTCTGAGCAGCGCGGAGGCTGAGGGGCTCCCCACTGCTGTCGGTGTACGCGGGGTCGGGGCAGCGGGTATTTCCATCTGTCTGTCCCCACGCCCCCCCCCCCAGCGGTCCTCCAGGGCGAGTACTTGGGGCAGAAGGTGGCCGTGAAGAACATTAAGTGTGATGTGACGGCCCAGGCCTTCCTGGACGAGACGGCGGTCATGACGTGAGTCCGGGGTCGCGGGGGTGGGTGGCGGGCGTCCCAGGGTAGGGGTCCCAGCCGCGCCCTCACGGCACGCCTGCCGGCCCCCCAGGAAGATGCAGCATAAGAACCTGGTGCGTCTGCTGGGCGTCATCCTGCACCAGGGGCTCTACATCGTCATGGAGCACGTGAGCAAGGTGGGGGTGGGGCCTGAGGTGCCATCAGGGTTTGGGGGGCCGCAGAGTGGCCTGAGGCCCCCAGACCCACTTCCCTTCCCCACAGGGCAACCTGGTGAACTTTCTGCGGACACGAGGCCGGGCCCTTGTGAGCACCTCCCAGCTCCTGCAGTTTTCCCTGTGAGTGGGGTTCCCAGGGGCGCGGGGACGGGGGCCCTCCCAGGTCAGGGGGAGACTGGGGCACGGAGCGGGGCCGGCCTGGCCTGGGGCGTTGGCAGCGTTGCACCACCGCCGCAGGCACGTCGCTGAGGGCATGGAGTACCTGGAGAGCAAGAAGCTGGTGCATCGAGACCTTGCCGCGCGCAACATCCTCGTTTCCGAGGACCTGGTGGCCAAGGTCAGTGACTTCGGTCTGGCCAAAGCCGAGCGGAAGGGGCTGGACTCAAGCCGGCTGCCGGTCAAGTGGACGGCACCCGAGGCTCTCAAACACGGGGTGAGCGCCCCTCCGCCCCCGGGACCCCTGAAGCCCCAGTTCTGCCCACTGTGTGACCCTGCGTCTGGCCTCTTGCTTGTGGGACCCTCTGGGCCTCCGTCTCCCCGTTTCTGAAACAGACGGGCTCCATGCCAGGCCAAGAATAACAAGGACACCCCCCCCCAACCCCGCATGGAGTCCGAGTCCCCTGGGCAGGGGACTGGTGCACAAGCCCCTCAGGGCCCTCCTCACCCCAATCCTGGGCCCCACAGAAGTTCTCCAGCAAGTCGGATGTCTGGAGTTTCGGGGTGCTTCTGTGGGAGGTGTTCTCATACGGCCGGGCTCCATACCCCAAGATGGTGAGTGGGGTGTCGGGGAGGCGCCGGGTGCCCCGCAGGTCTGGCCGCCAAGGCCCTGACCCCAGCCATGCCGGTGTGCCCTCTGCCCACAGTCGCTGAAGGAGGTGTCCGAGGCCGTGGAGAAGGGGTACCGCATGGAGCCCCCTGAGGGCTGCCCGGGCCCCATCCATGCCCTCATGGGCAGCTGCTGGGAGGCTGAGCCTGCCCGCCGGCCGCCCTTCCGAAAACTGGCAGAGAAGCTGGCCCGGGAGCTGCGCAGCGCGGGGGGCCCAGCCCCGGTCGGGGGCCAGGACACGGACAGTTCCCCCTTGCCGCGCGGTCAGGAGCCCTGACCCTGCCCGGGGGCCGCAGGCCCCAGAGGAGAGAGCGGAGGGCGCGGGGCGGGTGCGGGGCGGGCGCGGGGCCAGGCCTCGGGAGGGTCAGGGCCAGGGAGCTGCCCAGTGGGGCTCCGGGCAGCCCGTGGGCACCCCACACCCAGGGAGGCCCGGGGCAGCGCCTCCATAAAGACTGGTTCCCAGGACTGTGGGTGTCTGCGTCTCTCTACAACCCTTGGCGTCCTTCACCCCAGGGGTTAACCCCAGGGGACCCCCATCGCTCGGCCCGGGCCGATCACCCCCCCAGTCGGGGCCTTGCAGCCGCCGTGGGCACACACGTGCGCAGGGATAGAGCCCCCGGCCAGGACCACAGCCCCCCCACAGGCCTGCTGTCACCCGTGGTTCCCGCTGTCGTAACCTCGGGAGGTCCAGGCCCCAGCACCCCCGCCCCTGCCCCTCAGGGTGGGCCTGTGGGAGCCCGGGGAGCCTCTGCCCCGCGGTGGCCTGCCAGGGGGTGCTCGGTACCACCCAGTGACCCTGGGGGAGGTGGGGGTCGGGCTGAGGAGCACCGGCCCCGCCCCCTGTCTACACCCACTCGGGGGCTGGAGCCCAGGCCTGCACCCCCGGGTCTGAGTCTGACTCACCCTCCGCTCTGTGGCCCTGACCCCAACCTATGGCAACCAGCCGTCCCCAATGAATAGCATTTTGGGGACGGGGGACACATGGGGGTCAGTCCCCCCCTGCACCCCAGGCATCCTCGGGGTGGGGGTAGGGACCTGAAGGCTCACCCCAGCGATCCAGTGCACACAGCTGGTGCTCAGTGTACCGCATCACCCCCACCCCCTGATATTCCCAGGGGTTCCTTCATCCCAGGAACCCCCCACGCCGGAAGGGGCCCCACCCCACAGCACACTCTCCCACGGTGGCTGACCCGCCTGCGCCTGACACAGCCTCAGCTGGGGACTTTCCTAAGGTCACACTGACCTCCTGCAGTGCCCCCCTGAAGTCCTGAACCCCTCTGGGTTCAGTTTCCCCACTAGCCCCTGAAGGGGCTTCAGGAAGTTCCTCCCTGGTGGAGGGATAGGAGGCTGAGAGTGGCCTGACCCCCACCTAATCCAGCTGGAGGGGACACCGGGCCCCGCCCCACCCCGCCCCTAATCCGGTCCTCTAAGCTGACACAGCGTCTGCACCCTCAGCTGCACCCGCTAAGCCAGCAGAGCCCCTGCGCCTAACGCCCGATCCTCCTGCAGCCTCTTAACCTCCCCGGGCCAATTAGCTAATTGGGGCCTGAGAACAGAGCAGCTCGTTAGCAAGGAAGCAATTAGGGAATCAGGGAGCCTCCCCGCCCCCCACCCCAGGCCTCGTGCCCCTGGCCCCGAGCCCCCCTCACCGACGGGGCAGGTCCCAGGGAGCCTCGGGGAGCACCTGCCACCCTCCCGCCCGGGACAGGGTGTCCTCCAGGGCCTCCTTGCCCGCTCCGCCCCAGCCGGACCCACAGCTGGTTCTGCATCCTGGCGCAATGGACCCCTCCTGGGCCGGCCGCCCCACCGGGTGTGTGGGTGCACGGGCGCTGCTCCCTCCCGCGGGCCCTTCCCTTCGAAGCCTCCCTTAGGGCAGGTGCCCTCTCCCCGCCCCACTAGCTCCTTGGTCCGTGCTCAGCCTCCAGGGCCTCCTGCCTTGCGCCAGACACCGTCTCCCTCCCGTCCTCCATGTCACTAAATCCATCAGACATTTTCTTGGCCCCCCCAGGCCCCCACCTCTCCTCTCCCCTCCCCTTGGGCCCCAGGCTCTTTTGGGGGGAGTAAACCAGGCTCAGGGGTTTCCATGGAACCTGCTCAGCCTCTGGAACAATCCTGTCATCCACTTGTCCCCAAAACAGGAGCCTGGGTATCACCAGCTCCTCCCTCTTCCCTGAACTTTCTTCCCGGGGTGTTCCCCTGCCCCCCATCCCCCCACTTCCATCCCCACAGCCCTCACCCTGCTCAGGCCCCAGCTTCCTCATGGCCTCCCATCTTGCCCCCAATACATACTCACCCAAAATGCCATCTGACTGCGTCCCTTCGCTGCTCCACTACCTCCCATGGCTCCCCAGTACCCTCCCCTTCCACCCCGTTGTGTCCACAGTCTTAGCCTCCTGCTCCATCCCCCATTCCAAGGACTTTCTCTACAATAGCCCACCCTCTGTTCCCCCTTCCCTCCCCTGCTTGCTTTTCCTCGCTAGCCTGTGACCCCCTGACCCGCTCTGCATCTTATTTGCTGGTTGTCTACCTCCCCTACTAGCATGTCAGCTCCAAGTCTGTGTGTGTCTTGTCCACCGCTGTGAACAGTTCCTGGTGTACAGCACGTGCTCAATAATGTCCACTGAAATCAGAGTGAACTTCTATTCATTCCTCAAAACCCAGCGACAATGCCCCCTACTCCCTGGTCAGCTCACCGTCCGGGGCCGACGGGAACGGCCCCCCAGCACCTGTGTGGCTGAGAGCACCTCTCTGGCCCCAGCTGAGAAAACCAGTAGCAGTGGACACTCCCTGAGCACGCCCTGTACAGTCACGGCGCCCGCTCCCTCATCCCCCCTTGCCCCGTGAGAGCCCATCAGGTAGGTCCCGGGGAAGCCGAGGCCCGGAGAGGGGGAGGCCCTGGCCCGGTCCCACGGCGAGGGGAGCTCACCCCTCTGGAGCCCAGCCTCCCTCCCCATGCCCGCCCCCTGCAGCTCAGAGCAGCCAGCGGGGCGGGAGGGGCCCCGATTAATCACCTGGCGCTAATCTCTTCCCTGGACCCCAACCCGCTCGGGTCTGGCAGGGCCGGGCCAGCAGCAGTCGGGGCGCCGGGCCCGCGTGGACGCTGGGGGGCCGAGGGGCTGCCGGCGGTGGTGAGTACTGAGCGGGGCCAGGGGCCTCGGGGGCGGTGTCCTAGGCACCCGGAGATGGACGGACGGACAGACGAAAGCGGGGGTGGGGGCCGGAGGCCGTGAGGGAGAGCTCGGGCGGGAGGGGACACAGGTGGAGGGACGGATGGACGGACGGACTGGCAGACCGGGGCCCGCCTCACCGCCCCCCTGCCCTGCCGCCCCCCAGGGGGCCGAGGAGAAGCCATGTTCCTGAGCCCCGGGGAGGGGCCGGCGGCAGAGGCGGGGGGCCCGGGCCCCGGCGAGGAGACCCCCAAGAAGAAGCACCGCAGGAACCGCACGACCTTCACCACGTACCAGCTGCACCAGCTGGAGAGGGCGTTCGAGGCGTCACACTACCCAGACGTGTACAGCCGCGAGGAGCTGGCGGCCAAGGTGCACCTGCCCGAGGTGCGCGTGCAGGTGAGGGCGCCCGGCAGCCCCGGGAGGAGCGGGAGCCCGACAGGCCCCCTCCCGGTGTGCAGGCGGGAGACCTGGACATCCGGGAAGGAGGGGATGTGGGACTGGGACCCTGGCGCCGGAGCACAGGTTTTCCAGTTAGAAAGCAGAAAGGGTCGGGGGCGCGGCTGGCTCAGCAGGTAGAGCGAGTGACTCCTGATCTCGGGGTTGGGGGTTCCAGCCCCACACTGGGTCTAAGGGTACTTGAAATCTTGAAGGAAGGAAGGAAGGAAGGAAGGAAGGAAGGAAGGAAGGAAGGAAGGAAGGAAGGAAGGAAGGAAGGAAGGAAGGAAGGGGTCTCTCTGGGCACCAGCTGTGGAGGGGTGCCATCGGAGGGTTCCCATCCTGCCGGCACCCATGGGGTGGGCCAGGGGCCGCAGCCCGTGCAGGGCATCCCCAGCTGAGGCCAGGAGGGCCGAGCTTCAGGGGACCTCGGCTGACCTGGTGGGGGCCCTGGGGGAACCTTCTCCTGGGACACCATCCCCTTGAGGCACAGCAGCAAGCAGGACCCCACACGGCGGGAGCCCCGAGAAGCTCACAGTGGAGCGAGGGGTGGCCGGGCCCTCAGCTGGGAGCACCCCTCTCACCACCTCCAGGTGTGGTTCCAGAATCGCCGGGCCAAGTGGCGCCGCCAGGAGCGTCTGGAGTCAGGCTCTGGGGCTGTGGCAGCCCCAAGGCTCCCCGAGGCCCCGTCGCTGCCCTTTGCCCACCCGCCAGCCATGCCACTGCCCCTGGAGCCCTGGCTGGGCCCTGGACCCCCCGCCGTGCCGGGCCTCCCACGCCTCCTGGCCCCGGGCCCCGGGCTGCAGGCGTCGTTCGGGCCCCACGCCTTTGGTCCGGCCTTCGCGGAGGGCTTCACCCTGGAGGAGGCGTCCCTGCGGCTGCTGGCCAAGGAGCACGCGCAGGCTCTGGACAGGGCCTGGCCACAGGCCTGAGTGTGGGGCCCGCCTAGCCCTCCTGCCTCGGCCTGTCCGTGCCCACCCGTGCTGGTCCCCCCTCACCTCCTCACCCTGCCTTGCAGGGAGACGGGCACTGCCTCAGGAAGGAAGTGGCCGGGCCTGGGGCCTCGGCCTCCCCATCTGCCAGACGGGCGGGCGTGGGGGGAGGCTCTGGGACAGCAAGGCTGCAATCACCAGCCACCCGACTCGCTGCGCCCTGGCCCCCCGCCCACGCCTGCTCCTTCCCAGCCGAGCCCCAGCTCCCAGGCCTCCCGCTCTCCGAGACATGGCCAAGAACAGCCGGGGCAGCGCACGTTCCCCGGCGTCTTTCACCGTGTGCCCGTCCTGGGCCCATCGCCTGACCCTCAAGACAGCTTTCTCGGGGAGGAAACCGAGGCCCAGAGGCCAGGCTTGCTGACCACCCTTCCCAGAACTCAGCTGGACTCCAGGACTAGGAGGCGTCGAGGGCAAGGAACAGGGTGTGACCAGGCTCGGGCCTGGCCTAGTCTCAGCACAACAGCGGGATCTCCCCAGGGGACAGAGCAGGACGGCACGGGACGGGGCAGCCTGGGTCAGAACAGGAGGGGAGGGGCTCAAGGGCAGAAGTTGCAAGTGACGAGCACCCTGCTTTTGAGGTCTGTCCACAAAGTGACTGTAGGATCACTTCTGGGTCCTCACACCGGTGCGCACCCACCGGGTTCAAGCTGGCCTGCTCATCTCGTCTCACTGGGCAACTCACATGAGCCTATGCCCATGTCTTCTCTACGTCGTGGCAGCTGGGTCAATCGCCAACCCCCCTCCCCCACCCATCACCCACCCATCTATCCACTCGTCCATCTACCCACCCTCCCACCCACCCACCAATCCACCATCCATCTCACCCATCATCCATTCATCCACCCTCCATCACCCCGTCCATGCACCTACTCATCCATGCACAGGGATGTGATGGGTGAACAGACAAAACTCCCTGCCCTGATGGAACTTCCGCCCCAGTGGGAGGAAGACAACACAAATAAATGCACACAGACATAAAACACCAGCTGGTTTAAGTGTTGAGAGGAAATAAGACCACAAGAGGCAAACCAGAGTGTATGGCACGAGAGCAGTTTACCAGGGGGGTTGGGGGCCTCTTGGAGGTGACATCAGAGGACCGGAGGAGGTAAAAGAGGGTGCCAAGAGAACACCTGGGGAAGAGCCACCTGGGCAGAGGGAATGGCACATCCAAAGCCCTGGGGTAGTACCGGGCCTGGGGTGTGGGAGGAACAACCAGGAGGCCTCTGTGGCTGAAGGAAAGCCAGCGAGGTGCCCACGGTGGGGGGGGGGGGGGACGGGACGGGACAGGAGGCAGGTCTGGCAAGGCCTTGTGGCCGCCACAGCTTTGTTTCTACCCTGAGAGCCATGGAGGTCCACAGGAGGACTGGGACCCTCCACCTGCTCTGGGCAGGCCCCCAGGGAGGGCAGATAATCTGCTTGGCAGAGTCTTCCTAAGAGGATGAGGGCTCCTGGGTTCCAGGGACTAGAATTAGCCCCCGGCCCCGCCCACCCGGGGAGCTGAGAGGGTGCAGAGGAGCCTGGAGGGGCCCTGGCCCAGCCCCCAGGTGGCGCCCTCATCCTGCCACCCCTGCAACCGCATACCCTCCCAGGCTTCACCCTGGGCCCCTGCCCCCAGCCACGCAGGCCAGGAGTCAGGAACCGGGGAGCTGGGGTTCTCACTCAGGGTCGGGCTCATGATGCCAGATTAAGACTCCCGGGGGATCCCTGGGTGGCGCAGGGGTTTAGCGCCTGCCTTTGGCTCAGGGTGCGATCCTGGAGACCCGGGATCGAGTCCCACGTCGGGCTCCTGGTGCATGGAGCCTGCTTCTCCCTCTGCCTGTGTCTCTGCCTCTCTCTCTCTCTCTGTGTGACTATCGTAAACTAAAAAAAAATAAAAATAAAAAAAGACTCCCGGGTGCGTTTCCCGGTGGGGTGGGCGCAGGGGAGGCTGAGACCCAGGTACTAGGCGGTGGACAGGAGGATGGAGGGGAGGCCTAGGTCCCTGGGCTTGACTGGCCCACGCAGAGAACCCATGAGCTCATGGGAAGGAAAAGGAAGTGCCTTCCCTGTGGCTGGGCTTGCTGACTGGGCAGGGGTGTCAGCCGGGAGGCCTGGAGCCCCCGCCCCCCTGCAGAACTACCCCCTGGGGCTACAGGGGCCAGAGCCAGAAAGGGCCGCACGTCTTGACACCGAAGCCCCCGAGTGCAGCGTGCCTGAAGGCCGAGCCCACCTGGACGGAGTTTCTGAAGCTCAGAGACTCACGTCCGGCTAGTTTGGAGGCGCGCGTTCCCTGCAACCCGGAGGAAGGGACGTGTCTAGGAAATCCTGCCCCTGGAGCCATGGGGCTGAGGCGCCCCCCGCCCACGCCCCCCGCAGCACCCAGCAGCAGCCAGGGCTGCCAGGGCGGGGGGGGGGGGTGGCCCGTGGGGACCACACAGGCGCCAGGTCAGGGGCCTCCTCTATCCTCAGAAAACTCTGTTCTCTTGAGGAAAATAAAGTCCTGTGCGGGGTCCGGGTGGGGACGCGGCGTGCGTCTGGGTCGTCCTTCAGGGCCGGGGGGAGGCCCCGGGGGCTCTGGGCGGCCGGACCCCTCCCGCTAGAACCTCCGGCTCCGACTCAGCCGGTTGTGACGCCAGATGTTCTGTTTGCGCAGCAGCCGCCAGTACTCCCGGCTCTCGGGGTCCAGCTCCTCCAGCTTCTTGGGGGGCCCCACGTTCATCTGGAATAGCCTGCCGCGGTGTGGGTGGGGATCAGGGAGGCGGGCCGACCCCCACGGCTCCCCCACCCCATCCTGCACCAGTTCCCGGCTGTGGGAAAGCTGGTGCTGGTCTGGGAGGTGGGCACACACCGCGTCCTCTGCCTCCTGCCCATCGCCTGTGCTGTCCGCGGGGGACACCTCCCCACCCACACAACCTCTCTGAAGCTTCCCCGGCTTTAAGGATCAGTGTGGGTCAATGGCTTCAGTGCCCTGCTACTGGTCCTGGGGCCAAGAGCAAAATCTTGCCTGCCTCCCCGCTGGCCCTGTGAGGGCTGGGACCCATCACCCCCCCCCCACCCTCACCACATCTCCCTCTATTCTCCACCTTCATTTTCCTGCTGTTAACAAAGCAAGTGCACTTCTGCCCCAGGGCCTTTGCACTGGCCGTTCCCGCCACCTTTAAAGCGGCTACCGCCCACTCAGGTCTGGAGCCCCGCCTCCCCTCCCCAGGGAAGCCCTACGGAAACCTTAGATTTGCTCAGCCAGGCCACCCTCGCCCCATCACACTCTCCCGGCTCTCCAGCCCCGTCACTCACCACTCGGGGTACTCGGCGTCTGGCTTCAGGACCACGTCCTGGCCGTCCTTGTAGATGTTGACACCCATGGCGTGTGTGGTGAGGCGGACAGGGTCAGTGCACACGTCTGGGTCCTTCAGGGCCTCGCTGGCCACGCCGCCTTTGCCGCCTTTGCCCCCCTTCATGACTGCGGGGTGGGAGAGGGTCGTTTCTGCCGGCTGCGGCCTCGGGAGCCCGACCTTCCCTTCTGCTCCCTCTTCCCCCCGGTGGCCCCGGGGCCCCTGACCGGACTGTCTGCTGCGCCCAAGATGACTTTAGGAGGGACGTGGCTACTGCGTTACACACTGAGGCCTGGAGGGACCAGGTCACCGCTTTCCAATGGTTTTGATTCCTCCCGTCTGCGTCACGGAGAAAGGGCTCGGACGCTCGCAGGCCCAACATGTCGCCAAGTCTCTCCTTCCAACGAAGGAGACGAGGCGAGGCTACACCCGGCTGGTTGGGGTTTGCTTCGGTGCCCAACGCTCAGCGGGGCCCCGCCGCGTCCTCGAGGTCCGCTGGCGACTTGCTCAGGTTCACACGGTGCCCGAAAGGCACAATCAGGCCTGGGACCCAAGCTCACGAGGGCCCCACCCCCCGCCACACACACACCCATCCACGCATCCGTGCCTCCCTGCCTCCGAGCCTCCATCCACCCACCCCGCACCTGCGCAGTGGGTCCGATCACCTCCCAGGTACCTCGCACTGCGCCTGCGCACGGAGCTCCGCTGCGCACGGAGCCTAGGACCCACCTCCCAAGCCAGCGCCTGCGCACTAACTCCCCAATGTCCCAAACCTCTCTCACCCGGGTCCCTCTTAACCCAGCTCACCCGGTCTCTTAGCGTAACCCCGAACGAGGAGTGTTCCAGGCTCGGCAGGGGCCGGGGGCTCCCGGGCCTGCCAGCGGGCCCAGCTCCACGTAGCCCCAAAGAGGCGTCTGGCCGCCATGACGTACGCCGACTGCCGGCACGTGCACTTGTTCCGGGAGCCGACAGCGGCCAGGGGGTGCTTGGGAGTTGTGGGCTCCTAGAGATTTCTGGGAAATGTAGTATTCCAGTCTTAGGCGTTCCCCGAGTCTTCTTTTAAACTTTTACGGACACCCTGTTACTGTAGGAGACTTTCAAAAGACATCTCGTTTGCTTACTGCCCTTCTCGGGTTGCTTATCACCTACTCTGAGATCACGCCTTATGCATGCCTGATTCTATTCAATCAGCAATTACTAAAAGCCCCCAAAATAATTAGGCAATACTTAATAGACTCGTTATATCCCATTCCTTTTGCTAAGTCCGTAACCAGCTCGAGCCCGCTTCATGCTCACAAGTAGGAGGTCGGTGCTCTTATTATCATCCCCGGTTTATAATTCCGGAAGCGGAGCGCAGGGACGGCAAATCCCGCCAGGACGCGCCATTCCGCTTTCCCGGCTGTGAGCGAAGCCGGAAGTCCGTCTACAATTAGGGTCCCCGCGCTGCTTCCGGTGTCCCTTTCGTCGAAAGGGACCGCCTTCCGCTTTAATATCTCCCAGTCCTATTTCTTCCCATCTGCCATCCTTTGGAATAATGCCCGCAGCCGCGGCATTATTAAGAATGGGCAGCGATCACTACCCCGCTTTGTGGCGGAGGAAACAGGAGCAGAGGCCAGCCTGGGCTGCCACTCTGTGTGAACTGAGGCTCGGGATGCGAACCCTTGGTCCGGACACCTAGAGTTCCGGCGCGGCGCGGCTGGCTGGGAGAACTACATTTCCCAGCAGGCCTCGCAAACGCGCGCAAGCCCAGTGGGTCGGGGCGCCGCGCGGACAGACCTGCGGGCGCCGCGGCCGGGGATCTGCGAGCGGCGGCCCCCGGGGGACGGGCGGGCCGGGGGCGTGGGGCTCTGGGCTGAGGCCACCTCGGCTTGGGAGGTGAGTGTCCCGGCGGGGCCGAGCAGGGTCTGGAGCCGGCGGCTGACGGAAGGGCGGTGAGGTCTTGAGGCTGGGGTCCGCGAGAGCCCCGGGGTCTTCGGGGCTGGGTTCGAGGTCCGGGTCGGAGTCCGGCCTTGATCTTGAGCGTGGGACCGGCGGCTTGGATCTCTAGAGAGTAGGTCTGGGGCCCGAGGCCGAGGCCCCGGGTCCCTGCGCCTGCCGGGTCGGCGTAGGCAGCCTGGGTTACACGTCGCGGTGGAGGAAGACTTGGAAGAGCCAGGCCTGGGGCACGGGGCCCACGGGCGGGGACACGCACCCCCGGCTCGCCGCCCGCGAAGCCACTGCCTGACAACCAACCCCCTGGGCCGCTCTGGGTTTCCTCGTCCCTAAGACGGAGATCGCAGCGGACCCTTCCCTGCAGGGCATGTGGGGGTCGACCGTGCGTGTGTTCTGTGGGAAGGGCTCCCTCCCGGAGCCGGGCACCGCGGCGGCACTCGGGGAATCTTAACCTTTGAACCTGTGTTTTCAGATGCTGACCTGAGCCTGCGGTCCCAGCATGGACTTCCTGACGGCTTCCCAGTCTCCCTCAGCCCCTCCAGCCATGGACTTGGAGGAGCCCAGGGACGCCCTGTCACCCTCTCAGGACCTCACGCCCACCTGCCAGTGGGACCCGGTGCCGGCAGGCTCCGGCAGCCTGAGTCAGATGGAACTCGATGGGCCAAGTGTTGAGGACCTGGTGCAGCAGTTTGAGGCCCTGCCTGGTGATCTGGTGGGCTTGTCCCCGGATGGACGTCCCTGCCCCTTGCACGTCGCCACGGGCCACGGCCTGGCCTCCCAGGACGTTGCTGATGCCCATGGGCTCTTGTCTGCAGAGGCGGGCCGGGAGGACCTGCTGAGCCTTCTGCAGTGCCAGGAGTGCCCTCCTTCCCAGCCTTGTCCCAAGGAGCCTCCGGACCCTGCCCCTCGCCTGTTGCAGCCCCCCGAGGACCCGGATGGAGATACCAGTGCCCCGGGATGGGCGGAGGGAGCTTCTGCCGAGCAGGGTGGCAGCAGGAGCTCAAGCAGCTCCCCAGAACCCTGGCTGGAGACGGTACCTCTGGTTGCTCCTGAAGAACCGCCTGCCAGTGCCCAGGTAGAGCCTGTCCCGCCCCCCAGGCCGCCTCTGCTGCCAGGAACCAAGCCAGGGGACTCAGTCCTGCCCCTCTTCTATCTTCTTCCAGAGCCCCAAGACCCTGGTGCCATACCCTGCCCTCCAGGAGGGTGAGTGTCCTGCCCACCCTGGCCCTAGAGACGTAGCAGTTTCAGAATAGCCCACACCAGGCTCCCAAAGTGGCACAAAAGTTTGCCAGTAAGGAGTTGCTTCTAGAGAGGCTCTGAGGTTGGTTTGAGTAGATTCCAGACGGTCTGAGAGGAGAGAGATAGAGGCGAGAATGTTCTAGAACGAATAGGGGATGGAAGGGCAGGTGTGGCATTTGTAGCACTGGGTTCTAGAGCAGGGATTGGGTGGATTACAGCCATCTGCGGATCCAATCCAGCTCTCCTGTTCTCACGTGAGTTGTGAGTTAACAGCGGCCTTTGCGTTTTTAAGTGGTTGGAGAAAAATAGAACAGTATTTCTCAATCCGTGAAAACAATGTGCAACTCAAATTTCCGTGTCCACAAATAAAGTTTTATTGAGACACAGTCATGCCCATTCATTTACATATTGTCTACGGTGGCTTTCGTGTTAACAGAGAGGGTTGAACAGTTGCAGCACAGACCATCTGGCCCACAAGCGCAAGCATGTTTACTGGTTTGGCCCCGGCATAAGAAGTTTGCCGATCTTGGGGCGCCTGGGTAGCTCGGTTAAGTGTCTGACCCTTGATCTCACCTCAGGTCTTGATCTCAGGGCTGTGAGTTCAAGCTCCACCTCGGGCTCTAGGCTTGGCGTGGAACCTGCTTTAAAAAAAAGAAGGTTTGTGAATCTCTGCCCTGAGAGCATGGAAAGAACCAATTCTGGGCACCTGGAATGTTCTAGGATTCCCCCCCCCCCCCCCCCGCCCAAAACTACCTGAGGCTGTGAGTCAAAGAGCAAGTTTTATCATTGTGGGAAGGAGAGTTAGTTTGAACTCACAGTTCCAAGAAGTTGCTGGAATCATGGATGGGGCTATGACTCACCTAGGGAGTTCCAGAATTTGGCGTTTTGCCTGTGGTTCTAGATTAAAGGAACCTGGGCTGGCAGTGTTCTGGAATGAGACCGAGCTATCTAGACGGGGAGTGTTCATGATCGTGCAGTGAATAGAACTTATCTACAGTTCTAGATCAGAGGGTGTTCTAGCACTGTGGACACGGCTCTCTGATTCTAGAGGAATCAGTTCTAGAGTCACGCTGTACAGTAGAATCAAAATGTGAGTGATGTGTGACTTTTTTATTTTTAAATTTTTTTTTAAGATTTTTTTTTTTTATTCATTCATTCATAGAGACACACAGAGAGACACAGGCAGAGGGAGAAGCGGGCTCCATGCAGGGAGCCCGACGTGAGACTCAATCCCAGGTCTCCAGGATCAGGCCCCGGTTTGCAGGCAGCGCCAAACCACTGCGCCACTGGGGCTGCCCAATTATTTTTAAAATTTTTTTAAAGGATTTTATTTATTTATTCATGAGAGACACAGAGAGAGAGGCAGAGACACAGGCAGAGGGAGAAGCAGGTCCCTGCGGGGGAGCCTGATGTGGGACTTGATCCCGGGACCCCAGGATCACACCCTGAGCCGAAGGCAAATGCTCAACTGCTGAGCCACCCAGGCTCCCTGTGACTTTGTTTGTTTTTTTAAGATTTTATTTATTTAGAGAGCACACTAGCAGGAGGAAGGGCAAAGGGAGAGAGAAAATCCCAAGCAGACTCCCTGCTGAGTGTTGAACCCAACCTGGTTCCCGGGCTTGATCCCAGGACCCTAAGATCATGACCTGAGCTGAAATCAAGAGTCAGACGCTCAACCAACTGTGCCTGCCAGGTGCCCCCTATGTGTGACTTTTAATTTCCTAGTTACCTGCTCTAAAAAAATAAACATGGAGCACCTGGCTGGCTCAGTCAGAGGACCTGTGACTCTTGATCATGGGGTCGTGACTTCAAGCCCCATGTTGGGTGTAGAGATGATTTATTTATTTATTTTTTTTTTAAAGAAAGGTTTTTTTTTTTTAATTTTTTTTATTTATTTACGATAGTCACACAGAGAGAGAGAGAGAGGCAGAGACACAGGCAGAGGGAGAAGCAGGCTCCATGCACCGGGAGCCTGACGTGGGATTCGATCCCGGGTCTCCAGGATCGCGCCCTGGGCCAAAGGCAGGCGCCAAACCGCTGTGCCACCCAGGGATCCCTAGAGATGATTCAAATAAAAATGAAAACTAAAAAAAAAAAATTACAGGCAAGATTAATAATATTTTTATATATATTAAGGTTTTATTTATTCGCGAGAGACAGAGAGACACAGGCAGAGGGAGAAGCAGGCTTCAGGCAGGGAGCCCGGTGTGGGACTCGATCCCAGGACCCCAGGATCACACCCTGAGCCAAAGGCAGACGCTCAACCACTGAGCCACCCAGGGATCCCTAACAGCATATTTTAGGTGTCGTTTGAACATATAATCCAGATCTTACGATTATTTTACGTTTTTTTCATATTAAATTTTCAAAACCCCGCGCACATTTGACACTCACACCACTTCTCAGTCTGGGCCAGCCGCATTTCAGGTGCACGATACGCACATGTGCCTGGCTGCTACCGTGCTCGATGGCACAGTTCTAGAACCCCAGAGCGGAGTCGTCTGTTGTTCCAGAATGCTTAGGTCACGAAAGATAATGGGCAGAGCTGGCTGTGGTTTAAATCACTTCACGTCACCCAGAGCTGGGGCCGGTACCTGCAGTTCTAAATCCAAGGGACAACGGCTCCGGGTTTGAACCTTTCAGAACTGGCAGGGCTGGCTGCTTCTGGGCAGCCCAGGGAGTTACGGGAGCCATGAGGGCAGAGTTCTCCGTGTGGTTCTGGGCTAGGTTGGTGGAATTCTAGAACCGTGAGCAGAGTCGTTCGTCTGTGGACTACTCGGATAAGTGTTAGAACCACTGGGTACAGCTGAGGTGTCCACCTGGTGGAGCATGTTCTAGAAGCAGAGGAAGAGCTATCCAGCGCATCATGGTTAAGAAGGTACAGAAGCACGGCGTGGGGAAAATGTGGTTCCGGAGCGGTGCTGGTTTCTAGAACCCCTGCGGAATTCTGTGACTGTCGAGGAGCTCTAGAACCACGAATTGGGGCCATTTGGGGTTCTGGATGGTGTGTGAGTTTTGGACGTGGGGGACGTTGTCTCCCTCTACCCCTAACTGGGCCGTTGTATAACCGTGGAGCACAGTTGTTTCCGGTCCTGGGCCGACGAAGGAGAAATCTAGAACAGTGGGCAAAGCTCACTGGCTCTGGATTGATCCAGGGGGGACTCCAGAACCATTGAGTGCAGCTGACTGTGGTTTTTCTGACCTTGCTGGTTTTAGAAATGGGACTGCCTGGTTCTCGCCTGAGGACGGAACTACAGAAAAAACACAGGGTGGAGGTGTCTGGGTGCTAGAGCGGGTTTTCAGATCTGGCCGTGGTTCTAGACGCTCGGAGGCCCCCTGAAAACTGGGTCCCCTGCCCCGGGGTCCTTGAGCCATGGATGGAGCCCGAGCTGGCTCTAGACTGACAAGGGGGCTCTAGACCTCTGAGGGCCGAGCTGCCTGTCCGTAGCTCCTGCTGACGGGACGGTTCTGGAACAGCGAGTGGACCTGTGTGGTCCGGAGTGCTAAGCCGTGGCGAGGGCTCTGTGCTTCCAGCCCGCCGAGGGAGCCGGGACCCAAGGCCGAGCCCATGGGGTTGGACACGCGTGGCAGGGGCCTCCCGGGGGCTGACCGTCCTCCACTGTTGCCTCCAGTACCTGGTCCCTGTGACCACGAAGACCTCCTGGACGGTGTCATATTTGGGGCGAAATACCTGGGCTCCACGCAGCTGGTGTCCGAGCGGAACCCACCACCCAGCACGCGCATGGCCCAGGCCCGGGAGGCCATGGACCGGGTCAAGGTGAAGCCAGGGCTGGGCAGGCGGGGTCCCCGGGGCGGGCGGGTCCCCGAGGCCCCTGGAGCCCAGCGCCTTAGAGGCTGGGTCCTGGCGGGCCTCCACCTCCCACTCGCCCCCACAGGCCCCCGACGGGGAGACCCAGCCCATGACGGAAGTGGACCTCTTTGTGTCCACCAAGAGGGTCAAGGTCCTGACGGCCGACTCCCAGGTACGGGCCGGGCCTGCGGGGCGTGGGGGTCCCCGCGGAGGGCCCGCGCAGCCCGCCCAGCGTGCTGTCCCCCGCGGCAGGAGGCGATGATGGACCACGCGCTGCAGACCATCTCCTACACGGCCGACATCGGCAGCGTGCTGGTGCTCATGGCCCGGCGGCGGCTGGCGCGGAGACCGGCTTCCCAGACGCGCAGCCGCAGGCTCTACAAGATGCTGTGCCACGTCTTCCACTCAGAGGATGTGAGCGTGGGGGGGTACTTGGGCCGGACGCCCCGCACCGGGGGCCCGCAGTGTCCTCCCGCTGGTCCTCGGCGCTGTCCGCCCACCACCCCCTCAGCCCCTGGCCCCTCCGTGGGCCGACCTGAACTGTGCCCCCCTCCGGGCCGGCCTCCCTGCCTCCCTCTCCCCCCTCGCCCCCGCCCCAGCTGGACTCCACGGGGCCATCCCGCCGTCCCCTGGTGGGTGGGAGGGCGGCTTGGAGGACGCCCCCCGGACGGACGCTGCCCGTCGGCTCGCAGGCCCAGCTCATCGCTCAGGCCATCGGCCAGGCCTTCGCCGCCGCCTACAGCCAGTTCCTCCGGGAAAGCGGCATCGACCCCAGCCAGGTGGGCGCCCCGCAGAGCCAGGGCGCCGCGGGCCCCGGCCACCTGCACAACGGGGACCTCGACCACTTCTCCAACAGCGAGAACTGCAGGGAGGTGAGCAAGCGGCCCGGTGGCCCCGCCGGCCCCCCCACGCGCGGCCCTCACGCCCGCCCCCCGCCCCGTGTCGCCCTCCCAGGTGTGCATCGAGAAGCGCCGGGGTGAGGGCCTGGGCGTGGCCCTGGTGGAGTCGGGCTGGGGCTCCCTGCTGCCCACGGCCGTCATCGCCAACCTGCTGCACGGGGGGCCCGCCGAACGCTCGGGGGCCCTCAGCATCGGGGACCGCCTCACTGCCATCAACGGGACCAGCCTGGTGGGGCTGCCCCTGGCCGCCTGCCAGGCCGCTGTCCGCGTGAGTCCTCCCCGGGAGCGGGGCGCCCTTCCCTGGCGCGCTCCAGAAGGGCCGAGGTGCAGCGTGCCGTCCCGCCCGCTCCTGGGCACCCAAGGGAACGGACTCCTGGGGAGGGAGCCGTTGCCGGCCCGGGGGGACCTTGTTGGTGCGAGGGCGGGACTCGAACACAGGCGGCTGGGCTGCGGGGCCAGGAGCCTTCCTCCGCCACGAGGCAGCCCGCGTGTTCTTGGGTCTTGACCTTTGTTGCCAGACAGGGAGACTGAGGCCCGAGCTGGGGAGGGCCCCAGGCAGGTCAGGAGGGCAGATCCACGCGGCGTGTTGCCGAGCGTTTGAGTGTGGCAGGCGCTGCTGGAAGCTTGCTCTTGACGGGGAGACCGAGGCCACAGATTGGGAGCAGAGAGGTCACCCCTCCGACCCGAGGCCTCCTGGCTTGAGTCTGTGTCCTCAACTGCTCCTTGAGGTGTCTTCTAGAATCTAGAGCCTCGACTCCAAAGCTCTCATTTCAGAGTGGGTAAACTGAGGCCCCCAGGGGCTGCGGTGTCCCGAGAGGACCTGCAGCGCCCTGGAGGCCCAGCTAGGCCAACAGCCCCTGTCTTGCCCAGGAGGTGAAGTCGCAGACCTTGGTCACCCTCAGCATCATCCACTGCCCGCCAGTCACCACAGCCATCATCCGCCGGCCCCACGCCCGCGAACAGCTGGGCTTCTGCGTGGAGGACGGCATCGTAAGACCCCAGCCCCGGATGGGGGGGACAGAGGGACGGGGGGGGGGCGCCAAGCACGGCCGCCTGAGCAGCGCGGCGCCTCCGTCCCCACAGATCTGCAGTCTGCTCCGGGGCGGCATCGCAGAGCGTGGGGGCGTGCGCGTGGGACACCGCATCATCGAGATCAACGGGCAGAGCGTGGTGGCCACGCCGCACGCCCGCATCATCGAGCTGCTCACCGAGGCCCACACCGAGGTGCGTGGTGGTGGGCGGGTCTGGGGCGGGGGGCCCTGCTCCTGCCAGCACGGGCCCCCCCAAACTACCGGCCCCCCCCCCGCTCCCCTAGGTCCACATCAAAACCATGCCGGCCGCCACCTACCGCCTGCTCACAGGCCAGGAGCAGCCCGTGTACCTGTGACCGGCCACCAGCACCCCCGCCCCCGCCCCCCGTTGTGCCTTAGCTCCAGCGGCCCAGGGACTCCATCTGCGGGGCCTCCCGGGCTCGTTGGCGCCGTGTTATTTTCTCATGTAAAACATTAAATGCTTTAAAAAAAAAAAAAAACCAGCAGAATCTTGGACTGAGGTCTGTGACATTGAGAAGACAGATAGGACCGACTCTCGTGCCGTGTCCTGCTCAGAAGTCTCCAGAAAGCAGTGTTGTGAAAATACTCTTATTTATTAATGACTGGCAGAAGGACGCAGGGTTCTGGGTTCTGAGTGGGAAACCGGGTCCAGCCCCAGGGGACCTGGGAGGGGTCACAGGTCGGTGGCCGGGCCCCAGTCATAGCCGTCCTCATCGGAGGACTCCACATCTCGAGCTCGTGTAAACTTCTTCTTCAGGGCTTCCTGCCCGTACGTCCTGGGGATCAGGAAATAGAGGGGAGGCTGTGAGCCCACGTGGGGAGGCTGGAACTGCCCTTACCTGAGGCCGGCTCTCTGCCAGACACACTGGGTGTGCACAGAGACAAGTGGGGCTGCACATGGCGGGGGTGGGTGTGCGTGGGTGTCAGGCCTCCTTAACGAACTCCTACACATCCTTCAAAGCCCCAGCTCGTGTCCTGTCCTCCCCCAACTTTCCCAGTCCTCCCAGGAAGCAGGCTCCTACTTCCTTGGCCTTGACTGCGTGGGGTGGGATCAGCCTCTCCGCCTTCATCCCGCCCACAGGGCTAGGAGCACGTGAAGGCATAGCTGGGTTCAAGGTCCCTTGACCCCTGGAGCCTGAGTCCCAGGAAGAGGGCTGAGGGACTCCAGTGTGGAGTGCGGGGGCTCTTACCGCATGCTGTCCTGTCGCCCCTGGCTGTGGTGGGGGTGCCTGTCCGCCTGGGGGGAGGGGAGAAAGGAGGTCAGCACCCCCCACCCCCGTCCCAGCTCCCCACCTGGGCCCAGGCTCCGCTGCCCACAGACTCCCTCCTCGCCCCACTCAGGTCTGCAGCTCCTCCAACTCTTAGTGAGAAGAGACACTGGGCTGGGGGTGGGTAAGTAAGTCCGGGTATGCAAAGGCTGCCACGGACAGCTGAGCAGGTCGGGTACTGCACAACTCAGGGAACATCTCATAGATTCGTCCATTTTCACATCTCCCCAGAGAGGGCCTGGAGGAAGGGGCGCCTTTGTCGAACTTCTAGAAAGGCACTGCGGGGGCTGAGGCAGCCTCACAAAGAATAAATAGCGTATAAATCCTCGTCACTGGTCAACACCCAGGTCGTGCGGGCTGGGACTTGGGTAAGTGCGTTGGGTTTAAACAACCGCTTGGAGCCTCAAGATCTATCTAGCGCGTTGTACCCAGGTTAGGACGCACTGAGGTTAAAGCAGTGGTTTTAAGTCGTTCAGGGACTCACGGTCCCCACACCCTGGGTCGGGGTGGGAGACACGGGTCTGAGCAGAGACGCCCCTGTTCGCCGCCTCCCTGGAGGGGACCCCCTGGCCCCGGGTGTCTCGGCCTCACCCCAGGACCCCTGCACGCCCACCCGGCCCGCTCACCTGGGCTCCTCGGGCACCCGAGGCTCTCCCGTGATCCCGCGGGCCCCGGGGCTCCTCCTCCAGCACGGGCTCCGAGGACCGGGCCAGAGCGGGCGCCGGCGGCCCCTCGTCCACGTCCGTGTAGCCCTCGCCGTCCGTGTAGCCCTCGCCGTCCGTGTAGCCCTCGCCGTCCGTGTAGCCCTCGCCGTCCGTCTCGTAGTCGCTGTTGACCCGGCTGTCGCAGCTCAGGTCCGCCGAGCTGTCGGCCAGGCCGCGGCGGGGGAGCTCCAGGTTGTCCTCGGACGAGTTGTCCAGCTGGGGGCGAAGGGGGCGCTGAGCCAAGACGCCCACCCCCAAGCCCCAGGCCCAGGACACCAGCCTTCGGCCTCGGTCCCAGCCGGGTCAAGACCCGAACCTCGGGCCAGATCTGGGCCGCGGACACCCCCCCCCCACGCCCGTACCTGGTCCTCCGCCGTCCAGATGGGCCGGGTCTGCTGCTCGCGGACCACGGCCTTGAGCTCCTGGTACCAGGTGTCGCTCGTGCCGCGCAGGGGGATGGTGGCTGCGCGGAGGGGGCGGCGTCAGGGAGGCCCCGCCCCGGCCTGGCCCCGCCCCCGGCCTGGCCCCGCCCCTCCCAGCCCCGGCCCCGCCCACCGACCCGTGAACAGGTGCTCGCTGTGCTTCCGAAGCTTCTGGGCTTGCGCGTAGAGGCGGCGCGCGCTGCGGCGGGAGGCGGGCGCCAGCCACTGGCGCAGGGCCTTGAGGGCCGCCCGGCTCTCGGGGGCGCAGAAGACCACGATGGGGTAGTACTGCACGTAGTTGAGGCGCTCGACCGCCGACGGCGTCACGTCCAAGAGCGCGTGCTTGTTCTGGGCGGAGGGGAGGGGCGGACCGCAGGACCCGGGCCAGGAGGCAGGCGAGGCAGGCGAGGCAGGAGGCGATCAGACACGGAGGTGAGGGGCCAGGTGGACCCCAGGCTCGCGCCGCAGGCAGCCCGCGGGGGGCGGGGGCGGGGCCCGTGACGGCCCAGCCCCCCCCCCCGTGTCCCTCGCAGGCCCCCACATCACCACGCGGGGTGGGGCGAGAGGGGTCGGAGGCCTGGGCCTTGGTTTCCCCGCCCTCGAAACGCCCTCCCTCCCCCCCGGGGGCCTGCTTACCTTCTCCGCGATCACGCGCACCGTGTCCAGCTTGATGATCTTGGAGGGGCTGTCGGTCCTCAACACGCTGTCTGTGCGGGAGATGAGCCGGCAGCTTCGGAAGGGCGCCCCCAGCCGCCCCAGCTCCCCGCTCCCTGCCCCTCCTGATGCGCAGCCCGCCGGGGTCCCATCGCCCTGACGGCCATCCTAAGGCTGCTGCGCTCGGCCTCCGGGCCCACCGTGGCCTTCCCGGCCACTGACCCAGCAGGCAGATGGGACTCGGCCTCAGGGACCTAAGGTCACGGGCTCCCGGTCGCTGAGCCAACAGGGGGGCAGGGGAGGAGCCTGATCTGGAGTCTGTGTGCGGAGGTGACCCCTGCTCTGTGGAGGCCTTTGCTCAGACCGTGTGGATGGAAGCGGCTCTCCTGCCCCCCATCTGCCCTCCAGGACTTGAGGTGGAGCGCGGCTTCCCCCAGGAAGCCCTCCAGTACAGCCAGGCAGCAGGAGGCACGCCTGCCCTGGGGGGACCGGGAAGGAAGGGGCGGTAACAGCCTTATGTGTTTTTTTTAATTATTAATAAAATATGTACAACATAAAATTAAGCATCGTAACCGTCTCTAAGTGCACAGCTCAGGGCACCACGAAGCACACTCACCCCGCTGCGCACACCCTCCCCCACCACCATCTCCAGAACCTTCCGTCTCCCCACACGGAGGCCCCGTCCCCAAGAAGCACTGACCCCCGCCCCCGCCCCACCCCTGGCTCCCACCACCTCCTCTGTCTCTGTGGACGGGCCTCCTCTGGGGACCTCCTGGGAGTGGGGTCCTGCGGGAGGAGTCCTTCTGGGTCTGGGTCCCCTCCCTGAGCCCGGTGTCCTCGGGGTCCGTCCACGTGGGGGCAGGTGTCGGGCCCCTTCCTTCCTGGGGCTGGGTCGTATCCCGGGTGTGGACGGGCCGCACCATGTGTCCCCGCTCCCCTGTCGATGGGTTGTGACCGCAGTGTGCCCGCGGTGGACAGCGCTGCCAGGAGCTCGGGGGCGCGGGTCCCAGGCTGCGGCCTGGCCTTCACGTCTCCTGGGTATAGACCCAGACGCGGACTTGCTGGGTCAGATGCTGACTATTTAAGTTTCCAGGGAGCTGCAAACGGTCTTTCCCGGCACCGCCCCCTCCAGCCCCAGTCACCTTGGGGCCGCACCTGCTCCACACCCACCCGGGCACCTGCTCCGCCGTCTGTTTTGCTTTACATGATGGCCCCTCTCGGGTGTGACCTGGCCTCACACGTCGCCCTCTGAACCACGCCCCGGGACCTCCTCCTCCCACCGGGCTGTGGTCCCACAGACCCGGCCTCCCAGGTCGCCCTCCCGAAGGCTGCCGAGCCCCAAAGGGCCAGAGGGCCTCGCCTCCTGAGCCTCACAGCTCACGCGGGCTCCCCCCAGCGCCTGGGGACGCAGGCCACGCGCACCCGCGCACCCGCCCTGGTCCCTCACCCGTCCTCCTGAGCACAACGGCCCCCAAGGGAGAGACAAGGAAGCAGGGTCTCAGAGAGGGCAAGGCGCCAGCCCGGGGGTCACCCCACCCTGCAGAGCGGGAACGGATTTAGGGCACTGATCCCCTGGGCCCGCGGCGTTGCCTGCAGCTCACACGCGCCCTCCTAACGGCCTCACTCGAAGGCCCGGCCAGGGGGACCCTCCGGCTGCAGAAGCCGCCCCACCCTGCGCTGGGGGCTCCCGACCAAGAGCTCCCGGCTGCTCTATTTAAGCGCATCCGCTCCGCACAAACTTGTCTCCGCTGCGAGGCAGCCCCAGACTATCCGAAACCCAAGGGCGTGGCTGTACCCCAATTAAACCATTTGTAGATGCCGACATCTGAATTTCCTGTCGCTGTCACGTGTCACAAAATAATCTAACTTCTCTTCGGCCACTTAAAATGTGTAAATGCAGGGCTCCTGGGTGGCTCAGCGGGTTACGTGTCCGACTTGTGATTTTGGCTCCGGTCATGATCTCGGGGTTGTGAGATCAGCGGGGAGTCTGCCGGAGGCTCCCTCTCTCCCTCCCCCGCAGCTCTCATGCTCACGTGCACACTCTCTCTCTCCATATATGTATAAATAAATATTTTTAAAATGTGCAAATTCCATTCTTAGCAGGCGGTATAAAAGTTGAGGACCCAGGTTTGGCCCAGGAGCTTTAATTTGCTGACCCTCCACTCTAGCTCATCGCGAATTTTGGACCTCTCCCGGGGAACTTCTCTGTCTTGCTCAGTGCCCGTGTCTGTGGCTCAATAAATATCTCTTCAACAAACGAACGGGGGGGGGGGGAGCACACTGGCTACCTGGTGAACTGTGTTAAGAAGGATTCTGAGGCTCAATCCAGACTGATTCAGGACATCTGGCCTAGGCATTGGAAGGGTGCTGTGACTCCCATTTCCCATGGGCTGTTCTAGCCCCTTCCACAAACAGCAGCCGGCTCACCAACCTGCCTCGGCGCCCCCGTGGCGGAGAAACGGTTGTCAAAGGATCCCCCAACCCCCTCCCTGCCAACAAGGCCACGCTAGGACCTGTCTTCTTACCTGCGATTTCGAACTGGTCAGGCATCTCGGCAGTCAGCTTCTGCATAGCGATGTCCGCCACGGGCCCCAGGATCACCACGGGGCGCTTGAAGCTGGCTGAGGGGCACAGAAACCGCAACAGTCGAGGTCCCATTTGCAGCAAAGACACCAGATCCGGCTTGCCCACGGCTGCCAAAGACTACATCTCCCAGCATCCACTGCAGGCAACGGCCACGTGACTCTGTCCTGGCCAATGGGGCGCGAGCACAGCGGCCTTGCTTCACCTCCTGGCCCCTTGCACCCCCCCCCAGGTAGGTGTAGGCGCGCCACCCTGCACCCCAGTTGCACAGAAAAATAGAGACAGGGGGAGGCCGCCCTGGGCTGCATCTCGTCTGTGTCTGCAGCTGTCCCGGGGGTGAGGTGGGCGGCCGGCTGGAGCAGCTGAGCCTAGCTGACTCAGTGGTCTGCAAACTACAGCAGCGGGGGGAGGGGGGGCGACATCCAGCCCCCTGCCTGCTTTATAAATAAAGTTTTATTGGCACACAGTCCCAGGCACCCTTTCCATGCTGCCTCCCTGCTGGGCTATTCCCTGCCCCCACTCTTGTTCAGCGCTCCTGGACTACAGGCCTCTCTCTCAAGAGCTCCATACCTTGATTTCTAAACATTCTTTGGTGAAAATTAAGTTTTTGGCCTCTGAACTCTTTCTCACAAAAATAAAACATAAATCTTTCTCCTCTCCCGGACCTTGGAGCATCAACTCAGCCCATTCCCATCGGCAGGTTGTTGTTTTTTTTTTTTTTTTTAAAGGCCTCTGCATCTGCTGTAATTCTTTCTCCCCCCAAGGCCGTGGGCCAGGGTTCGCTTTCCTTCCTGCAATCCTGACGGGGCTGTCTCCCCACCAGAGGAAGGGTCTATGAGCTATGTGCTGCTTCTGTCTGTATTTCTAAAGATTGGATTAACTTTTTTAGTTAAGATTTGTGACTTTTTAAAATTAAGGCTTTGAGGGCAGCCCAGATGGCTCAGCGGTTTAGCGCCACTGCCTTCGGCCCAGGGCATGATCCTGGAGACCCGGGTCAAGTCCCATGTCGGGCTCCCTGCATGGAGCCTGCTTCTCCCTCTGCCTGTGTCTCTGCCTCTGTGTGTGTGTGTCTCTCATGAACAAATAAATAAAATAAAAATCTTTAAAAAATCTTTGTAAAATAATTATGTATGTTTTGAAACATACATGACACGAAATTAGTATTTTACTGTATGTACAGTAAAAGATGTACAGGTCAGTGGCATTTAGTACATTCACAGAGCTGTGCAGCCACCACCACTAAGTCTCAGAATATTCTCATCACCGTAAGGAAATTTGTCCCCATCAGCCGTCACCAACCCACCCCCGTCCCGGCCCCCACGAGCCCCCTCCTCATCCCGTGCAGGAACCCGTCCTGGGCATGTCACACATGTGGACTCACACCCCGTGGGGCCTCCTGTGTCTGGTTCCCTCCTTGAGGATCATGGGCCCAGGGCCCATCCCTGGGGCAGCACATGTGGGCGCCTGGCTCCTGTCAGTGGCCAGGGGACATGCCCGCGCGTGGGGGACATGCTGTATTATATCCCTTCATCTACTGATGAGCATTTGGACTGTTTCCACATTTTGGCTGCTGTGAGCATGTGTGTGCATGGTGGGGTCTAACGCTTGTTCACTGCACGCCTGTATTTTAAACGGCGTCTGCTTGGCGCCAGCAGCACCCACTGCGAGTACCGCCCTCCCAGGTGGTACTGTGCTGTCTGCAACAAGCGCTGGCCACGTGTGGCCGTGGAGCACTTGCAACGCGGCTCCTCTGAACCAAAGCGTGCTGCTCTGAGTGCAAAACACACGTGGGAATTCGAAGACAATACACACGCACAAAAGAAAGATGTGAAATACCTCACTAATACCATAACTGGATTATCTATTAAAATAATGGTTTAGCTATAAATTATTTAACGTATCTTTAACCATTTCTTTTTCGAGATTACCTATGTGGCTTGCATGTGTCAACTGGAAATAGGAATGAATTTTTTAAGGAAAGAAGCCCTTCCCTGTTTCCTCCGGCACCCTAAAAAATGGGTTATTTCTGGTGAGCAGAGAGAGGTAAGGATGGCGGCTTCCGAAGGCTGGACGTGGATGGATCGTGGGTCCAGAAGCTCCGACAATCTTATGATGCCCCCGTGGCACCCCCCACCCTCCCGGCCCGGGGACCCACCTTCTCGCAGCACCACGCGTTCATACGGTGGGTAGTGGCCCTGCCTGGTCAGAGCCGACAGGTCCTCGCGGCTCCGCTGGGTGGACTTCTTGGCGCCACGCCGCAGGCCCCGCAGCCGCCAGAACTCGGCCCTCGTGCTGGAGCCCACGGAGGCACCCGGCCCGGCCCCCACGGCGCGCTGGGCGGCCTCCAGACTGGCCAGCTGCTCGGCCCTGGGGAGAAGGCAGGGGACCCGTGACTGTGCTGCGGGGCCGAGCCGACGCCGGCGGGGAAGCCGAGGCCCCGGGTGGGCGGGGGGCACACCTGCTCTGGTTGGGGATGATGCCGCGCTCCTGCTCCCGGAGGTCGCGGCCCATGCGCACGGCCAGCCAGTGGGTCCCGCGGGTGCCGCTCGGCCCGGGGCCGGGGCACAGCGTGTCCAGCACGTGGAAGACGTCCCCGCGGGTGAAGCCCAGGCCCGACGGCGGGCTGGCCTCCAGCTCGAAGTGTGTGCGGATGTAGAAGGAGTCGCCCACGCGGGACTGCACCATTTTCCGGAAGACTGTGGAGTGGGGGGCTTGGTTAGCACCTGGGGGTCACCACCCAGGCCCAGGCCTCCCGGCCACACGCACTCACTGTCCTGTTTCCGCTGTGTCACCAGCTCCACTTCCTCGCCCGGCGGTAGCGCCACCAAGAACTGCACAGCCTCCTCCCGGGTCAGGTTCCTGAAGGGCACGTCATTCACCTGCCGGGAAGGGTGAGACGGCCGCGGCCGCCGGGGGACCCCTGGTTGGTCACCCCAGCTCAGCCTCTGCAGAGCCCCCTCCCGGGAGGAGGACAGCGGGACACTGGAGTGAGGGCATGGGGACAGGGATGAGACTGTAAAACAACTGTAAGAGGGGACAGGTGTGGAGGGAGGCAAGATGCATGGGGAAGGTACGACGTGGATGAAGCCGGGATAGGCACCGTGTGGTGGCACACAGAGGGACTGGAGAGGGGCACGGGGGTCGTGGGGGAGTAGCCGAGGCCGTGACACAGACACGTGTCAAGACACGGTGAGCGTGGCCGTGACACCAATGACCAGATCATGATGTTGATGACATGGCCGTGAATGGGACAAGGGCGTGACCTGGATGACACGGTCGGGGTCACTGATAACCAGGATGTGACAAGGACAAGGTCATGACCTGGACAAGTCGTGCCCCGATCAGTAAGGTTGTGGTCCAGCCACCAGGGTCATGACGCAGGCAGAGAGAAGTTAAAGTGTTCAAATGTCTGCACGGGGTGTCGCCTGTCCGCGGGGGCGGGCACAGAGGGGGACATGCGGGCGGGGGCTGCACACCCGGCGCCAGCCCTGCGTCACCTGCAGAATCTGATCTCCCTCCTGGATGCCCTGCCCGTCGGCCGGGCTGCCCTCCTGCACCCCCGACACGAAGATGCCCACGTCATTGCCGCCGGCCAGCCGCAGCCCGATGGTCGTGCCCTTGGGGAAGCGGACCACCCTGGAGTCGGGGCTGTACCTGGGGGGGAGGTAGGGGCGGGGTCAAGCCCGAGTGGGTGCAGGGGGTGTGCTGGGCATCCTTGGGGGAGCCCTGCACCCGTTCCGGGCCCCAGCCCCGCATGGTGGTCCCACCAACACACTGGTGCCAGGAGGCAGGACAGCATGGCAGGGAGGCGGCCCCAGGATGTGCGGGTCTGGGCGGGTGGGCTTTCTCTCCGGGGGACATACCCACGGTCCTCTGCGCTCTGGCTGCTGGGCACCCTGTAGATGTCATAGCTGCTGTGCCTCGGGGTGTCTGGAAGGGAACAGCAGCCTGTGTCTGGGCACACGGGCTGTTCCTGCCGCCGCACCCCTGCCTTGTGGCATCCCTGCCCCTCAGCGCCGTCACCCCGGCCCTCCGCCCTTCCCAGGGAGCTGCCACTGACCCCTGAGACCCGTGCCAGCCCTTCCCGCCCTGCCTGGCACAACCTCACTGGCTGGGATCAGAAAAAACCAGGGGGATGCTCAGAGTCACCACCCTCGCACCGTCTGCTCACCGGGTTCCGAGATGGTTCTGGAATCCAGCGAGTCTTCCCGCCGAAGTGGGGGGCTCTCCCTGGAGGGAGACAGTACTCGGGTGAAGTGGGGGTGCGCGCTGAGAGGCGACTGAAGGATTCTAGTGCATGTGCACCCGGGTCCAAGGCCTGCGTCTGCTGCTCCCTAGCCGTGAGGCCGTGGGGCCCATGCTCCCTCCGAGTGAGCACCGGGGACAGCGGAGTCAGGGCCACCGGAAGCCCTGGCTCCGAGGGACGGAGCTGGTGACAGGCGGTCACATGTATTATCTCAGTATTAGGGATCCCTGGGTGGCGCAGCGGTTTAGCGCCTGCCTTTGGCCCAGGGCGCGATCCTGGAGACCCGGGATCTAGTCCCATGTTGGGCTCCCGGTGCATGGAGCCTGCTTCTCCCTCTGCCTGTGTCTCTGCCTCTCTCTCTCTCTCTCTTTTCTCTCTCTCTCTCTGTGTGTGTGACTATCATAAATAAATAAAAATTTTTAAAAAAATTTTATCTCAGTATTAGTGAGAAGTGGTAGCAGGTCCTCTGGCCTGAGTGTGTCCCCGTCCCCCCAACCCCAGTGGGATGGTTGTGGTTGTGGAGCTGCAGTGTCTGGGAGGTGACAGGTCGGGTGAGGTCATGAGGATGAGGCCCCTGGGAAGGGGGCGAGGGCACAGCGGGAAGCCGTGGGCGGCGGGGTGAGGGCCCCCAGCAGGGGCAGCACACGGGCCACGGCCGTGACCTTGCAGCCGTGACCTTGCAGCTTCCGGAGACCTGAGGAGCAGCGGCTGCAGGCCCACCACCCCCCTCCGCCCGGCATTTGTCATCACGGCCTGAGCTGGCCGACTTAGACGGGACAGAAGGTCACCTGCAAAGCCCATCCGCGCTTAGCACGCAGGACCTACTTTCCAGACTTTCCCAACGCTTTCCGATAAACACGCGTGGAGGAAACCATCAGCCCCCATGTCAGCACAGCACTGGGTGATTTGAGGTGGGGAAGAGGTTTGAAAATACGACCCCCCCCAGCAGGTCCACATCAGAGAAACGGGCCCCGCAGATCCTCCTCCTGTGCGCAAGCGGGATGCCCAGTAAGGTCATGTGAGAGTCACCCCCCAAAACCCTCGGAGAAATGCCGCCCTGTGTCGCTCCAGAGGTCCCAGGGCACCCAGCGGCACAAGAGGGGTGGTCCATCCGGCGAGGACCTGTGTTCTCCTGCCAACGCCCCGCGAGTGAGCTGGGGAGTGGATCACCCACTCCCAGATCCTCCAGCCCTCGACGGTCCCCCGCCAAGCCGCCCTGGCTCCAGGGTCTCAGACGCGGCCTGAGACGGTTGTCCAGGGTTCCGAGCTGCCGGGCTGTAGGGTAACCTGTCCCACAGACCGACCCCCTGCCTCACAGGTGTGGGAGGCTAGAAAGGTTCCCGCTGTCGAATCCCCACGTGTTGGGCACTTAGGTTACTTTAGACATTGAGTTGTGTCCCCTCAAAATTCATCAGCTCAGCTCTCAAGCCCCAGCATCTCCGAACGTGGCGGTACTTGGAAACAGGGTCGCTGTGGGTGTAATCAGGGGACAGGAGGTCCGACGAGTAGGAGTGGGGAGGGCCCTGATCCCATGGGGGATTATAAAATGTGGACATTGGGGCAGAGAGACAGACATGCACGGGGGAGAGGATGATGTGCAGACAGAGAGGAGGTGGGCACGACGGGCTCAGGACTGCAGGGGAGGCTCCCGGAAGCTCCCAGAAGCTCGGAGAGCCCCATCCCCACCCAGGCCTCCAGGGGAATGTGGCCCTGTCCTCACCCTCATCTGGGACCCTGGAGCCCACACCCTTCTCCATCCTAAGCCACCAGGTTTGTGGCACTTTGTTACAGCCGCCACAGGACACCAGTGCAAGGTCACTGCCACCTGTCCCCACCTGCGAACATCACCACAGTGAACAGGCAGCCTCCAATCCCCCACACACATCCATGGCCACTTTGCCCCCAAGAGAAAAGCCCTAAAAAGGAGCCCTTTGTGTTTTGACGTCTCCAGGGATGTGTTGTAAAATTCAGTTCCTTCTGCTTTCAGGCGATTGATACCAGGTCCCCTCCGTGCCCTGCCCCATACCAAGCATGCAGAGCCCCGTCCTGGGGGCTGGGAGGACTACGGGTGGGAGGGGGAAGCCTCTTCCAGGCAGGCCACCAGCTGGAAAAGACGTGCCCACGATCCCCTCCTGCTCCAGCGCTCTGGCCGTCGGGGGTACGTACCTGGGGGAGTCGGTTCCACCGGAGTCCAGACTCCGCTGCGCATGCGGGGGTGGCGGTGGGACATGGGACGGCAGCGCCTGAGACAGCTCTGAGCCCAGGGCCGAGATGTCTGCGGGGGAGAGCACGTCCCCTCAGGCCTCCGGTCCATACCTGCCAGGCCGGACCCATTTCACAGGGAGGAACATCAAGGCTCCTCGAAGCAAAGGAGCCCGGATGGAGTCAGGCTCAGCCACAGCCTCCAGCCCGGCTTACTGTGCGGCCTTGGGCACGTTTCTATGCCTCTCTGGGCCTCTCGGCCTCCCCTGGCCTCTCTCCATTCAACCTGCCCGGGGGCCCCTCACCGTCCAGGAAGGAGCTGTCGCTGTCACTGTCACTGACGGCCGGCGGGATGTTCACCAGGAACTGCCCTCGGTCCCTGAGCACCAGCAGCGTCAGCTTCCCCTCGGACTTCTCAATCAGGCGCCGGGTGTCGCTCAGGGACAGATTCTCGCTGGACACACCATTGATCTAGAAGGGGCCGGGAAGGAAGACAGGAGGTGAGTCCACGCCAGATGGGGTGGTGGGGGGTGGATACTAGAAACAGCTTGCAGGGTGGGGTGGGGGGACTAGAAACACACAATCCCCAGGAATTCATAAAAACAGACGTTCTCAAGAGGAAATAATAGAATTGGCTTCCTCCTGCTCGGAGGAGACACGCCCAGAAGTGACTCCCACAAGACCCAGAATCCGCCAGTTTTCTGAGGGGCGGGGTAGGTAGGTGCTGGGGGAAAATTAGAAGCAGGTTGATTCCCTCCAAGGGGAGTTTCCCAGGAAACACCAGGAACAAACATTAGAAACAAGTCTAACTAGGGGGCGGGGGTAGACAGCCAATCTGTGGGAGGTCCTGGAATCAGACACTTAGACGTGGCTTAGAAACTTCGTTTGGGGGGCACCCGGGTGGCTCGGTGGTCGAGCTTCTGCCTTCAGCCCAGGGTGTGACCCCGGGGCCTGGGATCGAGTCCCGCATCGGGTTCCCCACAGGGAGCCTGCTTCTCCCTCTGCCTGTGTCTCTGCCTCTCTCTGTGTCTCCCATGAATAAATAAAATCTTTAAAAAGAGTAAAATTTAAAAAATAAAAAATTAGGAATGGCTAGAAACAGATTTTCAGGAGAGGAGTCTGGAAAGAAACCCACAGCACGGCAGAGCCACTCCTCTAAGCCTGGCCTCTGGACTATGGGCCCTGACCCCCTTGGGCCGGCGCCCCCCGTGTGATTCGGCGGCGGGGGGGGTGCTACTAGAACCTCACATCTGGCCGCATTTGGGCAGAGGCCTGGGGCAGGGGGTCCCTGGGAAACAGGCAACAGCACGGAAGGCAGCAGGTTGCAGCCAGCCCTGCCCGCCGGGTGGCAGGGTCACACCTCCAGCCTCCCAGTCTCCCTGTCCCGCCCCCGACGGGAAGCCTGGGGACACCTGTAGGATGAGGTCTCCTTCCTGCAAACCGCGATTCCTGGCGGCCAGGCCCGAGTCGGTGATGTGCTTGATGAAGATCTGACTGCCCAGGGTGACCCCGAACTCTGTGGGGACGAGCAGGGAAACTGAGGCAGGGCCTGGGGTCTGGGCTGCAGGCTCCTCTCAAGCTCAGACTTCTCACCTGCCCTCGGCCTTCCCACCCTCCGGGGCCGCCACTGGCGGGGTTGGGGGAGGCCTGGGACGGAACAGAGAGCCCCAGCCCCTGTGCCTGGCTCCCAGCGCCCTGCTGGTCACCGCAGGGGCTCCAGCGTGACCCCACGGAGACCCTTAATGACATCGCCTCCTGTTTTCAGGACGTGACTCTTGTTATTGAATTGCAAGGTGGGGACAGGGGCCCCGGTGCCACTTGTCACATGACATTTAGAATTCAAAGGTCACAGTGCTGCCACTGAATCGAGGTGGGGTCAGAGGTCACATCCCCGTTGTTTGTGTCACGCGTGACTCTATCGGTGTCCCAGGGCCTCAGTTTCCTGGGGTTGCTCACCATTGCCACGGATTCAGCGGCTTTAAAGCAATGCTACTTTCTAATCTCAGTTCTGGGGTCAGAAGTCCTAAAACCCAGGGGCGGGCAGGGCTGGTCACCACCCCCCGGGGGTCCCAGGGAGGCCCGGCTCCGGCCTTGTCCCATCCAGAGGCACCCCCTCCCTGGCCCGCGGCCCCTCCTCCATCCTCACCACCAGCAGCGTGGGGTCTGCCCGTCTCTGGGGGTCCCCCTATCTGCCTCCCTCTCCAGAGGCCCCCCAGGAACCCAGGGTCACCCCCACCTCAGGGGCCTTGACTTGCCCTCTGCAAGGTCCCCTCATCATGGGAGGCAACGTCCTGGGTCCCAAGGACCAGGATGGGGACGTCCCTGGGGGCTTTATCCTGCCACGCCCACGCACGCCACGCGGGACAGGGTGTCAGGTGGTGACCAGGGGCCCCTCGGCGGGTGCTCTGACCCCACGGCCAGCCCCACGCCCCGGCCGCCCCGGCTCACCTTCGCTCTCCGTCCTCCGCACCAACACGGACTTCACGGGCCTCATGTGCACGTCCTGGCGCGGCAGCCGCTTGAAGCCGGACACCAGCGCCAGCCCGTTGGCCTCCGAGTTCCCGCCCGGGCTCCTGCGCCCACGGCTGCCAGCCTGGCTCCGGTGGCCCGTCCTCGCCCGGCGGGAGCGCTCGTCCCAGGAGCGGCCAGAGCCACTGGACGTGTCGCCGTCATAGCCCTGGCCGCAGTCGGCCTCCTCCTCTGAGCCCTGGCGTCTCTGGCCGGAGGCGCCAGCCTTGGTGGCAGGCAGCTGGATTTTCCGGGGACGCCTCACCGTCTGTCAGGGGAGTGAGGGGAGGGTCAGCTCAGGGCTCCACCCCGTCCCCTGGGTGCTCCTGGGGGACCCCAGCCCCTCTCTGGGCCTCAACATCCAAGCTGTGAAATGGGGACAAGTCACACTCGTTCTGCCCGTGGCCTGCAGGATAGGGGGGCTCAGCGGGGCGCAGCGGTGCCACTGTGCCAGGGGCTCCCCTCCCACCTGACCCCACTCACAATGTTGGCCAACTTCGTGCAGGTCTTGAGTATCTGGATGGCGAACGTGGAGGTGACACTCTCCATGGAGACCCCATTCACCATGACGACGTGGTCGCCTGTCCTGAGGGAGGAGGCTGGGTCTCAGGGAGGAGGCCCCTGTCCCTGGTGCCCCCGGCACCTGCCCCAGTGCCCCACTTTGGGGCCATCACTCCCAGGTCCACAAAGGCCTGGTTCTAATTCACTGTCCCGTGTCTCACAAAGACATCAATTCTTCTGGGCCTCGGTTTCCTCATCTGTAAAACGGGGGCCGGTCCTGGATGCTACTATAATAATAAAACGCAACCACAGAACGGAGGCTGTGGTTATAACAGGTCTCTCATCACCCCCATTTCTTCTGTCAATGCCCTCTTCCCGCTGTTCCCCTCGTTCCCTGTCTGTGTTTCAAAATCTCTCTCTCTGGGCAGCCCTGGTGGCGCAGCAGTTTAGCGCCGCCTGCAGCCCAGGGTGTGATCCTGGAGACTCAGGATCGAGTCCCGCATCGGGCTTCCTGCATGGAGCCTGCTTCTCCCTCTGCCTGGGTCTCTGCCTCTCTCTCACTCTCTCTGACTGAATAAATAAATAAATCTTTAAAAAAAAACAAAATCTCTCTCTCTGAAGCACAGCCGTGTCACCCAGCAGCCGCTCAGGTCCCAGAACCATTTCCCCCAATGTAACTCCCAGAAGCCCTACTGCCCCCCGGGGCTCAGAACCAGCCAAGACAGGGTTCCAGGACTTCTCATTCCAGGAATGCCGTGGGGCCACTATGACCCCGAGACCGACCAGGAAGGACCGGGAAGTGCCCCAGGGACAGTGAGGGCCATGCGGCCAGCTCCAAGCCCTGTGTCGATGGTGCTGGAAGGCACCTGGCACTTTCCTGACTCCCAGCACTGGCGCACACGGGGTCCCTCCTGTGGCCGGCACCCCCCCACCACCTTGATACTCACTGCAGTCTGCCATCCGCGGGTCCCCCTGGCACCACATCGGACACAACCACGGACCCGCTGGCCCGGTCCCGGCCACCAGAGATCGCAATGCCAAAGCCTCGCCGGGGGTCCTAAGAGAGGATGAGGTAGATGATGAGCTTTTACTTCCCGTGGGCACATAGCTTCTCCCCTCCCGCTGAGCAGCCCGGGATCCAGGTGACATTCTCGTTGGCACCCATTTGGGGGGAGGGAGGCCTCACCCTGCAGAGCGTGGCCGTGTGCTGTTCCCAAATGGTCAGCTCCTCCATGTCCAGCACCTGCGGGAGGAAACGGAGGGCGGGCGTGAGGCCATGGCAGGTCCCCTGGGGCACTCAGGGACCTCCCGTGCCCCAGGTGGGGGCCTGGCTCTGGCGCCCCCATGGTCCCAAGCCCACAGGCAGATTGCCACCTCTCTGGAGACCTCAGCTTTTTCATCTGCAAAGTGGGTTTAAGTCAAGGGGGGGGATCTCAGCCGGGAACCATTCTGCCCCCCACCCCCAGGTACACTTGGCGACGTATGGAGGCATCTGTGGTCATCACAACCCGGAGTGCTGCTGGCACCCGGGGGGGGGGGCGGGATGCTGCTCAAGCCCCCACAAAGAACACTCCAGGCCCAAATGTCCAAATGCCAAAGCTGAGACCCTGGTTTAAGTGAACCACACAGGTACGAGCAGAGAAAAGACAAATGGCTGGGGGGAGGGGTTTCAAGCCCGGGGGTGGGGGTGAGGGGCCCCGTGCCTGGGGGCTCAAGCCAGGCCTGCTGGGCAGAGGGAGCACACTCAGCTCCAGCCACCCTGGGGGTCCTCAGGGTCCCTCCAACACCTGGGGCCTTTGCATGTGCTGTTCCTTCTGCCAGAAACCCTCTTCCCCCAGATTCCCACCAGGCTCCTCCCCTCACCCCTGCTCTTCGTGGCTCACTTGTTATCTGCATGGCCTCCCCACCTGCCGGTTTAGAACAGGGAGGCCCGCCTACTGCACAACAGACCACCCCAACCCCCTGCCCCAACACGGTGCCCTAATGCACACAACTTCTGACCCCTTGACGTCCTCTGGATTTTTTGGGGGGTCTGTCCATCTCCCCTCTCTAGAAAATCAGATCAGGGGGCACCTGGGGTGGCTCAGCGGCTGAGCGTCTGCCTTGGGCTCAGGGCATGATCCTGGGGTACTGGGATGGAGTCCTGAATCGGGCTCCCTGCAGGGAGCCTGCTCCACCCTCTGCCTGTGTCTCTCATGAATAAATAAATAAAATCTTAAAAAAAAAAAGAAAAAAGAAAAAAGAAAAAAGGAAGGAAGAAAAATCAGATCCAGAGGGACAGAGATTTTTGTTCGTCTCGTTCGCAGTGGAGCCCTTTCCATGTACTATCTCATTTAAACCACTCATTGAATCATTGAAGGAGATTTTCTTATATCCTGCCCCCCCCCCCCCCCCCCCCCGCACAGACCCAGAGAGGCAAAGTCACCTGCCAAGAAAACAGAGCTGACGGAGGTCGCGGCTGGGGAATGTGGAAATACCAGATTATTTTCAGGCCCGTGCTCCTGCTCTAGACTCTAGACGGGAAGGCCGCACTGCAGGACACCTGCCAGAGGGAAGGCGGAGGAGGAGCTCACCCCCACACACACACTGGGGGGCCCTATTTCCCGGGGGAGGGGGCAGGGGGAGGCCCTCCCCAGCCTGGCACAGCAGGTGGGTGATGCCCTCCGCAGAGGAACCCCCACTGGCGGCTCCAGGGCCTTTTCTTAACGGTTCCCAGGAGAGCAGCATTCCTGGCTCCCAGGGAGGGGAGGGGGGTGGAGGGGAGAGGAACAAAGCCAAGGGCGGGGCCTCGCGGGCACCGGGCTGCGGTTACCAGGGAGCCCAGGGCAGCCCTCACCACCCAGAGTCAAACCCCTCTGCTGGCTGCCCTGCGCCTCTTCCAACCTCAGTTTCCCTGCCTGTAAAATGGGTAACCCGGGTCCCTGCTGCCCGGTCCTTCAAGGCGGGGGCGCCGGGGCCAGGCAGGGAGCCCCATGCGTGAAAGGCAGAGAGCCTCTCTTCCAGGTCCCTAGAGAGCAGGATGCCGAACTTCCTCCTGTGCACGGAGGAGAAAACCCTGCTCCGTGCTGGCTGCCAACCGGAGCTTTACACGCACCCACTCGTTCAACCCGGAGGGGCCTTAGGCCGCGGCACCAATATTGTTCCTACACCAAGGGAGAGCAAAGGAAGGCCCAGAGAGGTCCAGAAGTTGCGAGAGGTCACACAGCAGACGGTGGACACGGGTGGCCCGTCCCCCACCCCTGCTCCTCATCCACGGCATCCTGCTGCTTATTTCATTTTTTTTCTTTGGAAGCTTATTTTGCAAAACAATCTTTTTCACTTGGTTTGATTTTACACTTTGTATCATGAAATGCCCTCCGGAATTTTGATTTCCTGGCCTTATTTTAAGAAACAGCCCCAGGGGGTCACTTGGGTGGCTCAGCAGTTGAGCGTCTGCCTTTGGCTCAGGGTGTGATCCCGGGGTCCTGGGATCGAGTCTGCATCAGGTTCCTTGCATGGAGCCTGCTTCTCCCTCTGCCTCTCTCTGTGTCTCTCATGAATAAATAGAAAAGTTAAAAAATAAAGAAAAAGAAAGAAAGAAAGAAAGAAAGAAAGAAAGAAAGAAAGAAAGAAAGAAAGAAAGAAAGAAGAGCCCCAGGGTACCAGGGCCCCTAGGGGGACAGGTGCAGGTGGCCAAGGCTCATCCCACCTCTCATAGGTGCCTCCACTGCTCTGAGGCCTTGATGAAAACCGGGGTGGGGGGGGGTGGGGGGAGGCTAACCCCGCAGCCCCTGTCAGCCTAGTTCACCTCCACATCTTTCCCTGACTGACCCGTCCCTAACACACCCTCCCAGGGTTTGTGCACAGCCAGCCCTTGCCACTCGGGGTCTCAGCTCAAAAGCTGCCGCCTCAGGAGCCCTCCTTGGCTACCCAAGCCTCCCTGGCTCCCTAGCACTCTTCTTTGTTTCATTACGCTTTATTCACGGCCTCTGAACCGTCTTAAATGTACCCTGTGTAATCACCGGTTGGCAAGTTTCTGGGCTTTCCTCTCGGGCTGTGAAGGCTGGGTGAGGCCGGCTATTTATTTGCACACTCTGGTGACGCCCACTGGCACCTCCTGGGCCTGGCGATCAGCCTCTGCCCCACGCCTTAGCAGGTGCTGTACTCTCTGGCAAACTCCTATTCATCCTTCACAGCCCCAGTGCCACTGTCTCTTCCTCCAGAAAATGGGTCTTCAGTGGTCCCAGACACACATCTCACATCCCTAATTACTAGAGTTCGGGATGTCCCTGTCCACTGTCTCCCATACACCCCTCTAGTCTGGGGCCTGCTGGTGGGCAGAGCTGGCGGCCCTGGGACCCCAGTGTAGTCCCCACAGGACCAGCAGGGAGACTGAGTTTGAGGAACAGGTACGTGGTGACATAAAAGGTATATTTGGTCACGAAATCAGCCAGGTGTGTCCGGAATTCCTAGACCCCACAGCAGGTAACCCATCCAGGTGAGCTGAGGGGGCGGGGCCTGTGGCTTCCTCCCCGCCCGAAGGCTGGGGCGGGGGCTCCCACCCACTGACAAACAGTGGGGAGAGGAGGAGTCGCCCAGAGGGGCAGGTCGGGTGGTACCCAGGCACACAACCCCTCGCCCTGGGCTCCGGGACTGGAGTCCTCTCTCCCCCTCCCCCCACCTCCAGAACAAAGGCCGGGGAGGCGGGCAGGGGGGCCACAGATAGGCGAGTCGCGGAGGGGATTCTGGAAGCTGTTTCCCCGGCAGCCAGGAAGAAAGCTGGCGGCAACCAGAAGGGCCCGGCCTCAGGGCTCAGGCCGGGTGGTCTGGGCTGAGCCACACTTCCCTATGGCCTCAGTTTACCCCCATCCCCCCCAACCCCCGGCGCGATCTCCCACCCAATACCGCGATTGTGGAAGAGTCAGTTCAAGCTCCATCCCTGGACAGTGTGGTACCCCAAATAGAGACACGGAGACCCCCTCCCTCCAGCATGTTTGCTTCTGTGGAAAAGGGGCTCTCGACCCCTATGTCTGCCACCCCTGTACACAGCAGGCGCCCATACATGCTGCTTCCCTCTCCAGCAGCCTCGTGGCTTTCCTGAAGCCACTCCAGCCCACAAGAGAAGTCACTGCAGCCTTCCCACTGTTGCTCAAGCTCAGCGAGCCGGACGTAAACATCTTTATTGGGCACCCCATGCGCGCCGGGCGCTTAAAACACATTTTCCTCCTGGGATCCTCCCTGCACCTTCTTTAAAGCGAAGATCATCACTTTTATAGGAGAAGTACCCGGAAGCCTTGATTCACTGGCCCAGAGTCATACAGAAAAGTCAGAATTGGAACCCAGATCCACCAGGTAACGGAGGCGGACCTTGGGGGCAGAGAAAGACCCCAGAGACAGCTTTCAGGGACCTCGCCGCGCGCCTGCACCTGCGTCCGGGCCTCAGTTTCCCCATCCGTCATCCGGGGTGGTCTGGGGTCCCGGGTCCGGGTCGCAGGCCCCACTCCTGCTAGATCCCCTCCCCCGCCCGCCCTCTGCGGCTACTCGCCTGGAATCTCACCGCCATGGTCCACCCCGGGGCTCTGCGGCGCCCGTGCCCCTCGGGGGGGCCTGGACGGGCAGTCGGGCCCCACCTGGGGCGAGGCAGGAGGCCGCGGAGGCTCGCGCCGGCCCCGGCGGCGGCCCTCGCCCTCCTCCCGCCAGCCCGGCCGCGGCCGCTGCACCTGCCCCTCTTCCTCCGCCCGCCCCGCCCGCCCCGCCCCCGGGCAGCGCGGGGCCGCCTCCCCCCGAAGCGCGGGATCCAGGCTCCGGGCCGCCGATCCAGGCCGGGTTTCCCAGCCCGCCGCGCCGCTCGCCCGCCGTCGGGGCTGGAGGCCGGCGGGACCCGGCTGCCGGGAAGACCCGGAGGAGCGCGAGCGGCGGACCGGACGGGCCCGCGGCTCGGCGCCCCGGGGCCCCGCGCGCGTCTCCGGGTGGGGACGCCTGTGACAGCGGGGGCAAGCGCAGGGCCGGTGACCTGGGGACACAGGCCTGGGCCGTAGCGGGGCACCCCAGCCGCGGGAGGTTCACTCCCATCACACAGACGGGGAGACTGAGGCCCAGGGAGGTCAGCCGCACCGACCTCCTGAAGGTGCTGGGCCCCTGGCACCCGGAGAGCCCCGTCCTCACACCCCGCAGGGCGCCGGGCCCCCAGCTGAGGAGGGCGGGCCTGGCCTGGCCCAGAACATTCTTCAGGCTCCTGGGAGCAAAGGTCAGGCTTCCTCCTGGGCCTTAGAAGGTAAGATCTGGGAAGGCTCAGAGCAGAGCACAGCAGGACCCCTCCTTGGGGGGAAGGGAGGGAGGGAGGGACCCCCCCCCGGGGGAGGGGGGCTGGAGCTGCCCCTGGCTACACCCCGTGCTCCTCACCCCTTTACGTGTAAATATAAATATGCACACACACCCTGAGGCCCAGCTCTTCGGTGCCCCACCTCGCGCCAAGGTCGGAAGGGCAAATCTGGGCAGAGGCCCCTTCCCAGCTTCATGCAGGCAACTCCGGGAGAAAGGAGCCCCACGGAGCCCCACGCTGCGGCACAGAAAGGCAGAGAAACAAGGAGACGGGGTGTGTGTGTGTGCATGTGTGTGTGTGTGCGGTGTGTGTCAGGAAATGCTTCCTAGAAGAGGGAACACGGCAGCGGGGTTTTGAAGGTTGGGTAAGAGTTTGCCAAGGGAACAACGTGGACCGTATAATCGCTGTAATACACAGGATGTAATAAACATTTTCCAGGCCCCCAGAGTTGACTTCTTACCCCTCCTCACTGCAGTACCTCCCCCCCCCAAAAAAAAAACACTAGTCCTAGAGCCCAGGCAGCTGGAATGGGCCCCTCACGCATCTCCAAAGGTCCCCAAGACAGTCAGTCTCTGCAGAAACCCCTCTGAGGACCTGCGTGAAACCTCGGGGCTGGGGGGGAAGCTCCGGGTCTCGCAGTCACCCCCCACCCCCCGCTGTCAGGCCACCAGCAGGCGGTACACAGAACAACTTGAGGTAGAACAAGGTCAAACTTTTTTTTCTTTTTAAGTCGCAGTGTATTTGTTTTAATGAGTCATAGGAAAACATAAATAAGCTCCCCACTGACACACGAGCGAACGTGGGTGTTTGCGGCTGTGAGCACCCGGAGAGGCCTGTAGGTGAGGAGCATCCTAAACTCCCGCTCCACTACAGACCTCAGCACCATCATGGGGGAACAAATGGGTTGAATTTGTAGGTAATGAGCCCCCTGGTGCACGTCTACTGAGCGTTTGCTTCGCCCCGGGTACACGGGATGTCCACGTGTCCACGCGTTGGCAGCCTGGCTGAGTGGCAAGAGCCGCCAGCAAGAGCTGGATTTGCCCCTCACCCCCATACCCACCCCGTATGGCTCTGTTTGACCCTGTGTCCCTAGTTCCATACAGTGTTTCTGGCTCGCTATAGGGGAATTTGCCCCTGGGGGACACTTGGAGATGCCTGGCATCAAGTAGGTGGAGCCCAGGGGTGCTGCTCATCCCCGGCGCCCAGCACTGTTCCCCACAACGAATGACCTGACTGAGAATGTTAATGGCACTAATGTAGTAGAGGAACCCCACTCTGGACCAGCCTCGGAAGGGGGCAACCACCCAAGACGCATGGTCTTCCTCCAACCACCCAACGTCCTGCCCCCACCTATTCAGGCTCAAGAATTCTCAGTGGCTCCCTAGTACCCATCAGATGACCCTGTGCTCTAAGGCAGAGTTTGTGGGTTTTTTGTTTTTTTAATTGGGACGCCTGGGTGGCTCAGCGGGTGAGCATCTGCCTTTGGCTCAGGGCATGATCCCAGGGTCCCTGCAGGGAGCCTGCTTCTCCCTCTGCCTGTGTTTCTGCCTCTCTCTGTGTGTCTCTAATGAATAAAAAAAATCTTTAAAGAAATTAAAAAATAAAAATAAAGTGAGCTCCACACCCAACGTGGGGCCTGAACCCACCACCCCGAGATCGAGAGTCCCGGGTTCCACCAACTGAGCCGGCCAGGTGGCCCACCAAATGCAGGGTTTTGAAAAAGGGTGCATTAAAATTTTTTAAATAAAAAAAAAAAAAAGGAAAAAGAAAAAGGGTGCGGCCAGTGCTGCCCCACAGGCTGGAGGAACTGGCCTTAAGCCTGCTATTGCAGCCGCCACCCCCCACCCCCAGCTGGATTACTGTAAGGAAATAAAATTCTGCTTTTCATCAATCGATTCCATTCATTGTTTTTATTCAGTCATTAACGCAACAAAAATGTGTCAGGTCCCTGCTATGCACCAAGCACAGAGGGGGGAGCCATAGGGACCGACTTCCCATCTGAAATTTCCATGCCATATTCAACCAGGCGGGGAGAGTGGGGGAAGGCGGGTCCCAGAAGGACCCCTGGGATGACCTTGCTCCACTGATCTTGGTGCTTATGAGGAAACTGAGACCCCAAGAACATGGGAGGCGGGGCTGAGGCCACCTCCCCCCCTCCAGAGTGCTGGCCACAGAAGAGGTGAAAGCCTGGGGGTCGGGAGTCACCTACTGGCTTGGGGCCTTCCCGGTGAAGGCTGCTTTGTGGGGCTGCAGGAGGCTGAGGCTGTATCTGTGGCCTGACGGTGTCATTCGAACCCAAGAAGGCCCTGGAGCAGCTGTGCAGCCTGGGGGGCTCTGGCTCAGTCATCTGCACTTACTGAACACCCACTGTGTGCCCAGGACTGACGAGACAGACCTGAGAGAGGCACACAGTAGTCAAATCGTCACGTAGCACAAGTAAAAGGGACCACCTAGACCTCTGAGTGCATCAGCGGGGGACGTACGGGGGCTGGGGGCTCAGGAAGGGCTTCCCCAAGGAATGGCCCTTGAAACAAGAACTGAGTTCAGGGGCACCCGGGTGCCTTTGGCTCAGGCCATGATCCCGGAGTCTCAGGATCGAGTCCCACCTTGGGCTCCCTGCAGGGAGCCTGCTTCTCCCTCTGCCTGTGTCTCTGCCTCTCTCTCTCTCTCTCTGTGTCTCTCATGAATAAATAAATAAAATCTTAAAAAAAAAAAAAAACAACTGAATCCAGTAGGAGTGACCTAGGTGAGAGGGGTCTAAGCAGACGAACAATTAGACCTAAAGGAGATGAGGGAGGAGCCCTGGGGAGATCTAGGTGTTCCAGGCAGCTGCACGGCCTGTGCAAAGGCCCCGGGGCAGGACAGCGCTGGCGTGTTGGAGGAACAGCCAGAAGGCCTGTGTGGCTGGAGCAGAGTGGGTGAGGGGGAGAGAGGAGGAGGAGGGGACGGCGAGAAGAGGAACAAGGAAGGTCCTGTACTTGGGGGCCCTGGGGAGGACTTGGGCTTTTACTGCTGGGAGGTGGGAGCCCTGGAGGGCAGTAGGCAGAGGGGCCCTTGGTTTGGGTGCTCGCACGCGCCCCCTGGCGGCCACTGTGGGAGGACGGCCCGTGGGGGTGACCCCGAAGGCCCAACCTGTAGGCCCTGCAAGATGTAGCTTGGAAACAAACAAACGTTTTACTTTGAATCATTTAAAAATTGACAGAAAAGGGGACGCCGAGGTGGCTCAGCGGTGGAGCGTCTGCCTTTGGCTCAGGGCGTGACCTCAGGGTCCCGGGATCGAGTTCGGCCTCGGGCTCCCCATAGGGAGCCTGCTTCTCCCTCTGCCTGTGTCTCTACCTGTCTCTCTGTGTCTCTCATGAATAAATAGATAAAATCTTTTTTTTTTTTTAGAAAAAATCTTTAAAAAAAAAAAAACTTGACTGCAAAGTTGCAGCTATAATTCAGAGAGTCCCCACATGACCCTCACCTGGTCTCCCCCAGCACTAACGTCCTCCACGACGGCGGTTTGTTGTCAGAGCTAATACATCAACATCCCACCACGGTCACCATGAACCGAACGGCAGAGTGCTGGTGCACACACACGTGCGCACACACATCAAGAACACCGCGACGAATGTACAGATAAACAATAAGCCAGACACTAACCACGGGGCAATAATCAACAGTCTCCGTTGAGCAAAATTCGTTTGCGTTTCTATGGACCAGAGTCAAGTTTGCCGCGCTACCAGTCAGCTCTAAGTCACAAGAGCTGTGAAATAATTTTTTTAAAAAACTAAAAATTAAAAAAAAAGTTTCCAGGGGCTGTACAATAAATAGTCCAGAGGCGACAGGAAGCCCCGGAGGTTTCGGAGGGCGCACCAGAGCCTGACATTGATCGATACCCCGTCACCGCACAAATGCTAAGGACCTGCTGATGTTTGTGAGCTAAGGTCACAGCTCGCTCACTGCACGTTTATTTCCGGGGCTACTTTTGGAGGATCTGCTGTCCCTGCTGGTCTGTGAGCCCCGCGCCTCCCTGTATCACCATGAGCGCCTAGGCCACAGCTGAGATGACCAGAGAGCTCCTGGGGAGCCACCCGAGACTCTGATCAGAGTAGGAACACCCATGCCATGTACCCCGGAAGGACAGACTCAGGGTGTGGCAGGTCCAGCCACAGAGCAGGTAAGGACTGGCGACCTAGTGGGGGCTTCCCTGAGGACTGGTTGAGGGGAGCTGGTCTGGGGTACAGGCGTAGAGGCCAGGCTGGTAACAGGCACCACCAGGGATCTCGACAGATGGACAGGCCTTGGCACAGATGGCATGTGGGGACCCCCCCAGCCTTGGGAATGCCGTGAGATCACCTCCATTTGTCCCCACTGGAGCCTTGACCCCCTCCTATGGCACAGGGCTCTCCCCACGGTGCCCCGGGTCCCCCCATGTTGCCAAGCCCTGGGACATTCCTCTGCCCTCCTGTGCCAGCCCTCCAGGGCTCCCACTCTCCTAGGGGTAAAGGCCCGAGTCCTACTGACACATGCAGCCTCCTAGGCCCTGCACGACTTGCCCCCAGTCCCCCCCCCCTTCCTTCTCCTCCTCTCCCACTCTGCTCCGGTCACACGGGCCTCCTCGCTGTTCCTCCAACATGCCGGGCCCAATCCTGCCCCAGGACCTTTGCACGGGCTGAGCCATGTACCTGGAATGCTTGTGCCCCAAATCCTCACTTCCTTTCTGTCTCCTCAAATGTCCCCCGCTCAGCAGGACCGCCCTGATCTTTCTACTGCGGTTTGTAAAATACCCCTCTGCCTGCTTCACTCCCGTTCCTGTTGTTTCACATCTTGCCCTCCATGGGACTGACCAGTCTTTAACCCCGAATACGATTCACTTCCTTATAATACGTCTTGTTTCTCATATGTCTTCACCCACCTGAATACAAGCCTGCCAGACCAGGGATCTTTGTCGGTCTGGTTTCCTGCCCAGAATCCCCAAGGCCCCGGAGCGGCACCCGGCACGTAGTAGGTGCTCAATAAGTGCAAGCTCGCTCCCGGGGCGGCCCCTCCTCCCGGTGGCGTCTCTCGCCAACCTCAGCCCATTCCAAAGGGTGTCAGGCTCCTCCCTGAGCAAACACTGCTTCTGTGGCACAAGGCCAGGCCGAGGAGGAAGAACCGGAACCCAAACTGGCCTCAGTGGACTTTCGCCAGAACTCATGGCCACGCGGAAACACTGAGCCGCAGAGGCAGGACTTTTACAAGATGCTGAGCCGGGAGTGTTTGGTTTTGGGGAGGGGGAAGGAGGTAGGAGGCAAGGGCAGCCCCCAGACCTTCCCCGCTCCCCTATCTGCCTGGCATCCGTTCTCTACTGTGCAGCCCTGGGCAAGTGGCCGCCCCTCTCTGAGCCCGAGTTCAACTTCTGTCTAAGGAAGGTGGATGGGGCATTGCGGCGAGCTTGGCACTCTGAGTCCCGATTTTGGGTGGGACAGTTTACACCCAACTCCCCCCGTGACTGAGAATCTATTGCCCACACTCTCCTTTGCTGCCCTCCGCAGCCCTGGGTTGCACCGACTCGGATTGTACCCATTTCACAGAGTGGAAAATTGACGTTTAGATAGGCAGAGCGGCCGGGGGCATAGATCTCCCAGACTCCATGGATTTTCTCTCCAAAACCCCAGCCAGGTGGGATCCGACAGTCAAGATGTGTCCCCTTCCAACCCCACAGACTCGATTCGCAAGCTCTCCACTCCCTGGGAGTGACCCCAAATTCCAGACCAGCTGTATGCCTGTGCCCCCACCCCGGCCCCGAGGGACCCTCTCTGCCCCAGACAAAGAGGCGTGAGGTGCAATCGGACACTTGGCTGGCCAGGAAGCTCTCTTTGTCCTGCACTTTTGGGAGCAAACGACCCAGAAAAGAAACCTCTCGCCACCCAACCCCGTCCTCTGCGGTTTCTGGGCTTCCTCTGCCCCCAGGGACCCCCAGCACCTTGCCCACCCCCACCCCCTTCTTGCGCTTCTCCATTGGCGGTTGCTGCCCAGAGAGGGACTCCAAATGCGTGAGATAAGCCCAGCACAGGACCCCTCCCCGGGTCCTGCGGGTCCCAGCAGTAGGGGAGGTGGGGGCCGCTGCCTGGAAACTGGGGAGTCTCCTCGGAAGCTCCAGGAGGCCCACACACCCACCAGGAGCCAGGCTGCCTCGCCTGCTGCCTCCCTGCGCGGGCCTCCCCGCCCCAGCGCCCCAGCGTGGGGGGATCGGGGACCAGCCCCTGCCTTCTCAGCCTCCCTGGCCCCACCTAGGTCCACAATGACCCTTTTAAGTCTCTGGCTCTGGCGTCCTGGGCAGGTTGCCAGGGGCGCTAACTTCCAGCCAGAGAAGCCCGTAGAAACTTTGTCAAATGCCCACACAGGAGTGTGAATGTCCTGCTTTCAGGGGCAGCAGAGAGGAGGTGACGGGGGTCCCAGGACCGGTGCTGGGGAGCTCAGTCTGCGTCTGCGTCTGCGTCTGCGTCGTAGAGCAGGGCCAGGGACTTACCTGTCTAGGAGGCGGGGTGGCCTCTGGGCAGGCGGCAGGAGCCAGGGCTTGGGTGACCGCCTGGCATGGGGTGGGGAGGGGACCTGAGGTTTGAGCTCTGTCCGCACTGGGTTCCCCAACTTTTCCTCCCCCGTGAGTGCAGCGGCTCTGTCCCGTGCCAGGTGGAACCAGCAGGACGGGGTGCACAAGGCGGCAGCAGCACCAGCAGCAGCGAGTGAGACACCGGCAGCTGGTTGGGTGTGTGGCTTTGTCCCAAGGTGCTCTCACGTGGGCGTCGCTGGCCTTAACCCCTGCTCAGCCAGAGGGACCGCCCCGCTCACAACGCTTCCCTTGCCGTGAGTCCCTGGCATCACCACGGGACTGGAAGGAACAGGTGGGCCATGGATGCACCTGGTGGCTCCCCTTCCCTCCGCTCCCCTGCATCTGAGGCTGGCAAGCTCTGTGTGGGGGGGGGCGGATGTGCCCCCCGCAGATCACCATTCCGCTGGCTCCCGCCCGCAGAACACATCTGAATGCAAATTCTGCTCCTCGGCCACTGCCGCCCCTGCGTGGATTCCTGTGCCGGGACTGGCCAACCATTTCCCTGCTGGGCAGCTGTGGGCAAGTCACCGAGTGGCCTCAGTTTCCTCACCTGAAAAATGGGAAAAGCACCAGCCCCTGCGTTCTGGGGCTATTTGAGACCTCAGGTTTGAGCTCTGTCCTCCGCACTGGGTTCCCCAACTTTTCCTCCCCCGTGAGAAGTTGGATAAACGGATGAAAATGTCTGTAAAGTGCTCATAGAACCATGCTGGGTCCGCACCTTCTAGCCACGACGATCCGTCCACAGGTGCGAAAGGCTCAGGTGCCGGTAGGTGTAAGGCACACGCTGGATGTGGGGGGCTCAGGGTGCAAAAGAGAACGTAAAATATCTCGTTATTTTGAATACTGATTCCGTGTTGGAACAGTAACAGTAACAGTTTCAGATGTTTTGGGTTTGATTAAATTTAATCGTTAAAAGTAACCTTCCCTGTTCATTTTTCACTCTTCGGGATGTGGTTACTAAAAACTTTAAGATGACGTTACAGTTTTCCATTTAAATTGGCACGCGTAAAAAAAAATAAAAATAAATAAATAAATAAATAAATAAATAAATAAATAAATAGGCACGCGTGACAGTTCTACGTCCCCATGGCCTGGAACAGTGCCCGGTACACAGTAGGTGCTCAGTGAAGACTTGTGGCATAAATGAATGAATGAATGAATGAATGAATGATGGAGGGAAGCGCCGAGTCCCTATCTGGAGCACCTGGAGCTGACGGTAACAGCCACCATGGGGCGCTAGAAACCAGATAACTGGCCCCAGCCCTGGAACCTCAGTTTTCCGGCCTGTAAAATGGGAACACGATGGGATGAGGTAGGAGGATCAGAAGCTGCGACCTCCGCCCGGATCCCCGCCCCTCCCCTCCATTCCCTAACCATGCTCTCCTGCCTCCCACAACACCAGTTTGTTTTTTTGGTTTTTTTTTTGTGTGTTTTTTTCCCCCAGTAATGCATGTACCCTAAAGAGTCAAGTCATCATTTAGGTTTGCTAAACTTAGCAGTGCCACTGCCACCCCACAGTTCCTCCCTTCCCAGAGGCACCTCTCCTTGAGCCTCTTTTAACTGATTATTTGGACATTCACTTCCGCATATCTAAGTAAGACCTGTCTTGCCACTTTTTTTTTTTTCGACTTTAGTATTGACTTCCCTCCAGGAGACTTTCAGAATCAACCTGGAAGTTGATTTTTTTAATTTGGTTCGTTTTCAAAATCCTTATCATTGACCCAGCCCCAACCCTTCTCCAGGTGTCTGAGCCAGTGGTTTTCAAACCCAGGCATCTGAACTGCCTGGAGTTCAGGTGAGGAGGAGGTGGGGGGGAGGGTGTTCCCCGAAACCCAGATTATAGGTCCCACCCACTCATGGAGTGTTTGATAGAGGAAGTCTGAGGCTGCCCAAGAATCTGCATTTCTAACCAGCTCCCAGGTGATGCTGAGGCTGCTGCTGTTGGTCCAAGGACCAGGCTTCGAGGACCATCCCTCTAATCTTCTTTCAAAATGGATTTAAAATGAGGGGTGCCCGGCTGGCTCAGTCAGTGGAGGATGAGGGACGTGTGAGTTTGAGCCCCATGCGGGGTATAGAGATGACTTAAAGAAATAAAATCTTAACAAAACGCCAGATACAAGATGATTCAGGAGATCTATCCATGGTGTGTATCCAAAGAGTTCTTCCTGGAGGCTTTATGTTACGTTGTTTTATTTTTTATTTTTTTTTAATTTTTATTTATTTATGATAGTCACAGAGAGAGAGAGAGGCAGAGACAAGCAGAGGGAGAAGCAGGCTCCATGCACCGGGAGCCCGACGTGGGATTCGATCCCGGGTCTCCAGGATCACGCCCTGGGCCAAAGGCAGGTGCTGAACCACTGCACCACCCAGGGATCCCTGTTACGTTGTTTTAAATGATAAAATGCACACAACATAAAATTTCCCACGCTCGCCATTTTTAAGTGTACAACTAAGTAGCATCAAGCACACTTATCGTTCTCCAGAAACTTCTATCTCCCCACACGGAGACCCCGTCCCCAGGAAGCACTGACCCTGGCCCCCGGCCCCACCCCTGGCTCCCACCACCTCCTCTTTGTCTCTGTGGATGGGCCTTCTCTGGGGACCTCCTGGGAGTGGGGTCCTACAGGAAGTGTCCTTCTGGGTCTGGGTCCCCTCCCTGAGCCTGGTGTCCTCGGGGCCCATCCACGTGGGGGCAGGTGTCAGGGTCCCTTCCTTCCTAAGACTGGAGAACATTCCAGTGTGTGGATGGGCCACATTTTGTTTCTCCTTCATGCTTTGATTCCCTTAAGTCTTTGGACTCCGATCTGGGTTGGCTCTCTTCTGACAGAGGGCACAGCTACGCTGGGGGTTCCTTTTGCCACATCCTGAGTCCTATTCTCCATCCCTTTCCTTTCTTGATTTGCCTCCTTGTTTTGATGGAAAACATTTCAGAAACATCTTTCTAACCTCTGGGTTTGACTGTGACCTGCTCCATCTTCCCAATCCCCATCGTCCCATTGCCAAGCACCCCAGAGTCCAGTCTCCCGCTTCCTTGCCAGGACCCCAGACTGTGCTGAAGGGCCACGTCTCCAGAGTCAGACAGGCCTGGGTGAAAATATCCTAGGTTGTCTCTCACCGGCTGGGCACTCAGACTCCCCCACTCACCCCCCAACAGAAATCATTAGTCTCGAACAAAACTAATAATACCAACATTTATTACTCCCTGAATCATGACCTCAGAATTAGTAACCTAGACATGTCATCAATAAATTCACCATTAAGGGGATCCATGGGTGGCTCAGCAGTTTGGTGACTGCGTTTGGCCTGGGGTGTGATCCTGGAGTCCCGGCATCGAGTCCCACGTCGGGCTCCGGGCATGGAGCCTGCTTCTCCCTCTGCCTCTCTCTCTCTCTCTCTCTCTCTGTCTATCATAAATAAATCTTTTTAAAAATTCACCATTAAACTTTAATGACATGAACACAGTGAGTCCTAATACAGTATGTAAACACAGATTCACAGCATCCTTATTTATGATTTCCAGCAGGTGGCTTCAGCTCTCTGAGCTCCTGTTTTCTTCCTTCCTTCCTTCCTTCCTCCCTCCCTCCCTTCCTCCCTCCCTTCCTCCCTTCCTTCCTCCCTCCCTCCCTCCCTCCCTCCCTCCCTCCCTTCCTTCCTTCCTTCCTTTTTTCCTGTTTTCTTTGTGTGTGTAAAATGGGAATGATAAGAGTCCCAATCTGGTTGATCAATACTTTCAAATATTTATTTTCTTCTAGGTGCTATACTCCATATTAGGTACCGGGAACGTATTAGTAGTTTTTTGTTTTTTTTTTTAAAAAAAGGCAAACAAGAAATAGGTCCCTAACTTACAACGGGATTGTACTCAGAGGCTTTAGCATCTAGCCTGATATTTAATTGCATCGTTATTTGTAACTTCGCATTACATCATCCATAGTGTTATATATACGTCTGCGACGCTTTAACATTATCTCTGTTGTCATAATTATATACTTTTGTCTGGAGGTATTAATTTGCCGGTACCTTCCTACCGCGTCATTTATATGCCGTGCACGTTAACCCAGATCCTGTTTATTTTTACTTATTGCGTCATTTGTTGCGTCATCATAGCTGCTCCTGACGACAAAGCGCAGAAGTGTCATCCGCGCGATGCTGACAGCGCTTCGCTCCTCGTAGGCAGCGCTTGGGTCTGTGACCCGCGCGAGTTATCCCAGCTCTAACCTTAGGGACGCGCGCGGCGCCGCCCTTCCACCCCCCGGGCGCTTGGGGGCGCTCGAGGCGCGGGGACGCACGCAGGCCCGCCCCGAGCCCCGGCCGGCGGCGCGCGCGCTGTGCGCAGGCGCACGCAGGCCCCGCCCCGGCCCCGCCCCCGGCCCCGCCCCCGGCCCCCTCCCTCCGCCCTCCAGCCGGCGGCGGTTGTTGTTCGGCGGCGGCGGCCGCAGCTCGGGTGCAGCCTCGGCCGCCCGCCCGCCCGCCGGCCGGTCCGCGCGCGGCCATGGAGCTGGAGGTGCCGGACGAGGCGGAGAGCGCCGAGGCGGAGGCCGTGACCTCGGAGGCGTCCTGGACCACGGAGAGCGGCGCGGCGGCAGGTAGCGGGGCCGGACCTCCTCCCTCCGCGCTCCCCGATGGGCCCGCCCGCCTCCCCCGCCTCCCCCCGCCGCGGCCCAGTGGACCCGCCCGAGCGCCGGAGGGGCGCGGGGACCGCCGCGGGGAGGCCGGAACGTTCCACTCGGGGGCGCTCCGGGGGGGGGATGGGGCGCCCCTCGCCGGGGCTCGCGGGGCCGCCGCCCTGCCCGGGGGCTCCCGGGGCGCGTGCGGGGCCGGTTCGGGGAGCAGCCCCCGTCCGAGGCGTGCAGGGACCCGGGGTCCGCACCTCGGGGCGGGCGGGGGTGCACGGAGGGTGGGCGCGCTGCCTCCCGCCGAGGGCGCCCGGGGTCGCATCCCACCCAGTCTGGTTGGCGGGGGCCGCGCCTGCCAGGTGAGCGGAGACCGGCGCTGGCAGCCCCCTCCCTGGGCCGCCGCCTGCTGCCCGTCCGCGTCTGGGGTCAGCCCGGGGGCCGCCCGCAGCACCACCGTGGGCACATCCTCTGCTGTGAGGTGCGCCGAAGGCCAGGAGCTGCCACGGGGGAGGCGGGGGGTCCTTGAGGCCCCCTGGGTCAGCCTCCTGGCTGCCTCATTCCTCCTCGTGGGAGTCCCCCAAACCCCGGTTTCTAGTGCACTGGCCACTCATTGCCGTTCTGGGCCTCGGTTTCCCTGCTTGCAACAGGAGGGGGCTGAGGACATGACATCTGGACGGCTCTGCAGGCAGGAGGAGGAGAAACAGGCGGCCCCCCCTCACCCCACAGCCTTCTCCCTGGACGCTGGAGGGGGCTGCCTCCTCCAGAAAGCAGGTGTGCAGAGCGAGGTGGCCCGGCCCAGCCCCGGAGGCTCCCGGCCAGCTGTGTCCGGGGCACTCGCAGAGCCCAGCTGCTGCCCGGAGGGATGGCCCCTTGTCCCCCAAGGTTCCTTCTGGGTCACATTCTCAAGCTTCCAAACAGAAGTTTCCGGATCTGCAGGATCCTCCGCTCTCCTCGGGCAGCCCTCGCCAGCAGAGGCCCTGCAGACACCCACATGGGCATCCGTCCTCCTTCTCCCCCAGGCCTCCTGAAGCTTCCTTGGCAGGCGGGCGGGATGTGCTGTGTGGCTGGGGCGGGGGGAGGGGGGCTGGGCGAAATGTCTGGGGAGAGAGCGCCAGGGCCAGCGAGCGAGCTTCCCCCAGGCTCTGGAAGGCTGAGGCCCGCCGCTTCTGTCCCTACTGCCATCTGGAAGTGCTTGGTAGATGACCCGCTTCCCTTCCACCATCCGGTTGCCGGTTGCCTCGCCCTTGTTCTTGGCCGGGGCCCGGTGCCCTGGCCTGGCTGGCCCTAGACGTGGTTCGGGCACCCAGCCGTGCTCCTTTATCAGACCCCTGGCCCCCACGATCAGCCCTCCGACCCGGGCTGCTCAGAGACAAATCAGCCCACGACCGAGAGATCACAAGGAAGCCACAGAGCTAACATTTATTTTATCGGGGGCTCAGTGTGTCACACGGGGGGCAGATAGAGCCCCAGGCCCCAGCGGTGGCGGGTTTAAGCAAGGGGACGTGGGAGATGAGGGACCGGCCCTGACCGCCCGTCACCAGGATCCGCAGAAATCTGACTCCCCCAGCAAATCATTTACTTCACTAACTTTAAAACGCAGAGCTACCGCTCCCTTTCCAAACTCATTCCTCCTGGTGTAAGTCCTCATTTGGGTAACAACTGTCCACACTTTTCCTACTGCTCCTCGAAATGTAGAAATCCATAAACATGTCTGCTTATTTTTTGCCAAAATGGTTCCATGCCGCACCAGGGGTTCTCCGCCTCGGCACTATTGACATTTTGGGCTGGAAAATTCTTTGTTTTGGAAGTGCCGTCCTGGGCACCATAGGGTGTTGGGCAGCATCCCGGCCCCGCCCTTTCAGTGCCAGAAACATCTCCCCTGAGTCGTGATGACCAAAAATGCCCCCAGACACCTCCGGTGTCCCCTGGAGACACCGTCAGCCCGGGTGAGAACCATCGTACTGTATCTTTTATTCCATAACTTGGCTTGCTTTTTATCTGCATTTATCTTGCATTTTATCTGAATTTTTCTCCCACGTTGGTATCAGTTACTTTCTTCAGAGAGAGAGAATATGGTGCCGTGGTTAAGAGGGTGCAAACCCTAGTCGAGTGCTGTGTGACCTTGAAGGGCAAATGCCTTGACTTCGCTGGGCCTCAGTAGTCCCGTCTGTTAAGTGGGGTGATGTGTGTCCTGCCTGGGGCTGGCCACGAGCCTTACTGAGTTAGCATGCGTCAGCCTGTTGACAGTGCTTCATGAACATTCGACACAGGCCGTTCTAGGCACCAGCCATTACTGGTTCAACCAGCCTCCTACTGAGGACCATTCTGGCTGCTTCCGGAGTCCACCTTTTAATGTTTCGAGAGATGCTGCGGTAAACATCTCTGATCGTGGCCCTTGACTGCTGCCCTTCACCTTCTAGCAGTTGAAGCCCCTGCTTGGGACTGGCTGGGTGGTGGCGAGCAGATTGAACATCGGTATCTGATGTCCACTGGCTTTCTAGAAAGGTCTGGCAGGGGCCAGATTCCCGCCGTAGTGGTGCCAGCTCTGAATGTTACCCGCTCCTTGATTTTGGCCAGTGTGGTGGAGGTGAAATGGTGTCGTGGTGTTTAGAATCCGGTTACTTTAAATGCCCTGCTCCTTGCTCCCGAGCCTGGCCCAGGAAGGGCCGGACGGGGTCGGATATGTTCATGGGGCCGACTGTTAGGACCTGTGGGTTTTTGGCCTGAGCTGCGATCTGGTTTTCAGAGCCATTTCCCTCCTGTCCTTCCTGGTTGCATGATGTCACAGAACAGTTGGCTTCGTTCTCGGCACCCCCCAGCCCCCTCCCACATCTAATCTGGTGGCAGATTATGCTGGTTTTGTCTTCGCAATGGACCCAGAGTCTGCCTCCTTCTTCCCCCGTCTCTGCCCCACCTGGTCTAGCCCTGTCACGCATCACTGGCCTGGTCCCCCGTCTCTGCTGTGCTCCCTACAGCTCATTCCAGAAGGCTCCCATTAAAAACTGACTTAGGGGGCGCCTGGGTGGCTCAGTGGTTGACCATCTGCCTCGGGCTCAGGCTGTGACCCCGGGGGTCCTGGGATCGAGTCCCACATCAGGCTCTCCGCAGGGAGCCTGACTTTCCTTCTGCCTGCGTCTCTGTGTCTCTCTGTGTGTCTCTAATAAATAAATAAAATCTTTAAAAAAAGAAAAAAACATGACTTAGGTTCCACCCTCCTCTGCCCACTGCCCTCCAGGGCACCCACCTACCTGGGACAAAAACCCAAGTCCTCCCCAAGGCCCATGAGGGCCTTCACCACCTACCTGCCTCCCCTCCTCCCTCTCTCCCCCTCACCCTCTCACCCACTCTGGTCCAGCCACATGGGCCCCTTTGCTGTTCCTCCATCACACTAGGTGTGGTCCTGCCTCAGGGCCTTTGCACATATGCCCTCTGTCTAGAATGTTCGTTGTTTCTGTGTTGTTTGCTTCCTTAGCTCTTTCAAGTTTTTGCTCAAATAGCTCCTTCTCAGTGAGGCCTCCCCCAGCATTGGAAGGAGGCCTGAAGGAGAGAAAAGAAGATGGCACAGCCCCGGCAAAGGCCTGTGTGCTTGAAAACCAGCAGGGGCCCACGGGGCTGGGGTGGGGCATTGTCACTGGAGGCCTCCTCTGTAGTTGTGGGCGCATGGTCCCTCACCCCCCTGCTGCCAGTCATCTGTGTGCTTCGGAGGCAGAAATCTCCCAGATGGAATTGTGCCCTGGGTGCTTCTTGGCAACGTGACGCTTTTGCCTCTGCCAGTTTCGTCCCCTCCATGGAGAGGCCTTGGCAGCTAGACTGCTTGGTCCACATCCCACGTGCGTCCTCCACCAGCCAGGGGCCCCCACCTCAGGGTGTCCACCTGGGAAATGGGTGCGACGACTGCACGTTTCTCATGGGGCTGGGGCAGGCCGGTGGCCCCTATGGCCTTAGTGCCCTGGGCCCTTAGCCGGCCCCGGGTGGGTGCTGGGCTCCTCCCTCCTCCGGTCAAGGGCTGCGTGCTAGACCTGCTGCCTGCAGAGCCTGGCGCGGGGTGGGGTCTGCCATCAGGCTCGGGGTTCCTGGGGACACCCAGTTGCTTCTTCGTCTTTGAACAAGGCCCCTTAAACATCAGGCACCCACAGAGGGCCAGCTGGGCCGGTGCGGTGACACACAGGCAGGCAGGGTCGGGGCTCAGCCGCCGGGCCATGGGGTCAAGCCCCTCCAGCACCAGTTTTCATCAGTAAAGTTTTATTCACACACAGCTGCACCCACCCACTCACGTGTGGCCTGAGAAGACTTTTTGCTCGTAGACTTCATGGCCTGCAACGTCAGGCATACTCACGGTCTTGTGCTTTACGGAAAGTGTTTGCTGTCCCATGGGTGAGAGCAGGCTGGTCAGTAGTGAGCGTGCAGAGGAAAAAGAAACCAGTGTCGGGGCGACTGCCAGTGCAGGGCCAGCTGCAGTGGGGTGGTCGGGGAGGGGTGGCCTAAGTGAGAAGTGCAGCCACGGGTCTAGTGTTCTGGGCAGAGGGATTAGCCTGTGCAAAGGCCCTGATGTAGGCATGAGCTTGAGTCCTTTGATCCACAGAAACAAAATCGGTGTTGTGGGCGCCTCTGAAATGGGCAGGGCCAGTCATGTGGGGTTGTGGGGTGGGGGTGGGGGGCCTGGCCCAGCTTCCCAGGGCAGGTACCAGGTGAGCTGTGCTGAGCAGTGCTGGGGGCCTGGATGGAGGCTGAGGGAGCCGAAGAACCCCGGGAGGGATTGGCCCCTGCCTTGGAGCTGGTGGGGGTCCTTGGGGAGAGCCCGGGGAGGAGCAAATTGTTGCAGGCTGGTGCTGATGTGGGAGGGGCACCCAGGGTCTTGGCCTGGGTCCAGCCCCCCTTGCCCCCTGGACGCTGTGCCTCTGAGCCAGTGCAGTTGCTGCTCCCCATGTCAGCTCCTTTCAAGATGAGGGCAGTGGGGTCCTGGGGATTCG